AAACACCATTATTAATAAACACTATGATCAGGGTTCAGTATTAAATAACTTTGCAAAAAAATTTACATCCAAGTGCAATGGTGCACCAATAACTAAGGGATACACAATAATTTATTGTAAGTGTACAGCTCACTAGCTGAACATATATATGACACTGGTTTAAAATTATGATTAACACCAACAACAACAACAACAACAACAACAAAAAAACATGCATGTCAATGAACTCTGTTAAAAGTACCCCAATAGTACTCACAAGAGTCGTAAGAGACTTTTGCTTTGTATGTGCCACCAAAGCATTCCTGTTCCAGTAGAGCATCGTTCATCTCTACTTGCTCTACACTGGTGTCATTAAACTTGAACCATCGACCTTTATTGGGATTGGTCAGTGGGTCACCTCTGAAAACCAGGGTCATACACTGAAGTCAACCTAGCCTTGGATAATATGGCACATTACTGCAAGTATGAAGACACAACTTGCAGAATAAGCATTTACTAAAATAATGTTTTGTTGTGTAGAATTTCATAAAACTGTTCACAAAGCAAAATGTTGTCATAATATAAGCTTGTTCTGCAACTTGTGACTGTTATTAACAAACTAGCTTTATTTAAATTCTCTAAATTTTGGAGATAAGTAACTAGAATAAACAAAAATATTAGCAGCATAAAACCACAAAAGCTTCATTTTTATTGCAGGTTTTAATTTTTCTTGATAACAGCAAACAATAAAAGATGGCAGAGGCTATGAATACTATTGTACTGTATAGTCAAATACAGCTTGCTTTGAATTTTGTACAAGATTATTCAAGGTTTCTACAGGTGGCCAACTACCTCAAGGATGGGAAGTTATGGAAAAAAAAAAAACCCTACACAGACAGGAAGTTTCCATAATCTACATATGTTGAGAACTGTGGGTTTTATATGAAGGGGGGAAAAAATATACATCACAGTGAAAAGAGATGCTATCGTGAGTCTCGTCACAAAGTCACTTTTTTCTTCTTTCAACACCGACCGCATCACACCGAGGCGAGGTAGGCCAAAAGGAAAAAATGAAAGTTTGTCCTTTTACATTTAGTAATATATACAGGAGAAGGGGTTACTAGCCCCTTGCTCCCGGCATTTTAGTTACCTCTTATGACTTGCATGGCTTACGGAGGAAGAATTCTGTCCCACTTCCCCATGGAGAACAGTCACTTTATCATGGATAATTTATTTATGATATTTTAACACTGAACTACTCAGTCTTTATTTTTCCCAACTATCAGTCCTGCCACTTTACTTTCTTTCAAAACTGAAATTTTTTTACTTAATGTGGTTATTCTTGTCATTTCCACAGTCTGTAACACCCACACTCTCAATAATTACTCTCATACTGATCCTGGTAAAACAGTACATAAGAACTTCAGACTGCTACACAGTATTGTAAGTAAGATGACTAGTATGCCAAACCTAACTGGAATTTTGATAAATATGTCAAACCTTTTCTTCTTCTTTGTCAATCCTGTCTCAATCTTTCTGATACAAGCAAAGCATAAAAAAAAAGTTAATAATGAAATCTCAATTAGAGATAAACAAAGCATAATTATAATGAAGAAGTTTGAGTACCTGCGGTCTTTGATGTATGAGTAGTAATGTCCTGCACTAGCTTGTCCACTGTGTACAATAACACCTACAAGTTCGTAGGTGACTCCCTTGTGCCGCAGTCTAGTGTTTATTCTGTACAGCAATATTTGTATTAGAATATAAGATAAATATACATAAGTATATAAATTAAAAAAAAAATACAACCTTTGTTAATGTATAACCTTGCAATTGCAATAAACCAAATTATGAAGATTCAAACAATATTAAATAAACGCTACTTAATCATCTCATTATTTTTGTACTATACTGGGTCAGATGTAATACAAACAGGTCATCTAATAGAAGTGCTCTATATGTACACAAAGAGATGTAACACCACATAAGCTCTAGAAGCTAAGTTCATGGATAACCCCCACAATACCATATGGTTCATATGAACCTTTAAACCCAGCTAAGGATAATGGACAAAAGATAAAAGGAAAAAAAAAAAAGATAGGAGGAATGCCAAGGCATCTGTGGAGAGAAAGGAATTTATCTACAGGGGCATAAAGAAGATTTTACCAGAGTATGGTAGTACCAACCCTCTCACATAGGCATGAGGCATATGCCTTAACCCTTTCAGGGTCGAGACTCCCGATCCTGAACTCGCTCTCAGGTCGAAAATTAAAAAAAAAAAAATCTTATGAAATGATAGTCTTTTCCCGATGGTAATGACACCAAAAGTATGAAATTTAATGGAAAGCTTATGGAATTATGCTCTCGCGAAGTTAGTGGTCTCGACACTATTTACACACCGATGATTTCGCCCACTTTGAGCTCTATTTTTGGCCAATTCCTATGTTCCAGTCTATTAAAATCATAGCTATGTCGCTAGAGCTCCATTTATTCTATCAACTGAGTACAAAAAACTGCCCATTTACTGATGAAGTGGTCAAAAATTGGCAATTTGGCCAATTTCACACATATTTCAAAAGATGCCAATTTCAAAATAGGGTCTAGAATAAACAAGACAGACATTCCTAGCATTAAAATAACATTTTCTCTGTTCATCAGTCATGTCTCCAGGTCCTTCTGATATTACTCTTGCATTCCATTTTGAATTTTCATTCTCACAAAAAAATAGAAGATTTACTGTTATGCAGACAACTGCATTATTGCAAAATTGGTATAAATAATATCAGCGCACTTGTGAAAGAATATTAGACTCACCAGTTGACGTGTATTGGATGTGTGGCATGATATGTTTACTCTTGAACATAGGCAAAAATCGAACATTTTCACTACTTGGAGCTCAATTTCAAGGTACTTTTCATTGTGAAACCAATCAAAATCATCTCTATTTCTGTAATATATCTTCCATTCTATCAAATGAGACAAAGAATATGAGAATATAACCATAAATACCATACGAAAATACACTGCAAAATCACTGTTTTAAACCAAAAACATGGTTGGAATTTTTTTTTCTCATTATGCACTGCATGCTGCAGGATTTTCTTCTATATTACGCACACTGACCACACAGACCCATTCTTTCATATGTAAGCCTACCAGTTTTTTTCCGCTCGATTTGAAGGTGCTAGAATTTATGCGTACAAGTACGGCACCAACCCTGGCTATCGAGCTGTACAAGTACAGCACTGACCTTGAAAGGGTTAAACATTGTAGTGAGGAGGATGCTTTAGGTGTTGGAGGTGTCAAGTTTGAGAGCAATGTGTTGTTAACTACTATGCAAAGAATATGGAGAGTAAAAATTGGAAGACGGTGGTGTTATGAATGGTATTATTCACAAGGCAGAAGTGTGGTTGTTGAGTGGTCTGGGCATTTAGAGATGATGAAGCAGAACAGGATGACCAAGAGGGTGTAAGAAATGAAAAGTCTTGATATTTCACAACATACATACATAACATAAACCAGAGAATAAGTGGGGATTGAACCCATGGCAAGTGAGTCCTAAAACCCACCCGTTCTGTGGTCTGTTTGCAACCATGTTAAACATAACATAAACCTACAGAAAGCATGAATACATTAACCGGTAGTAAAAACTGAGAACATATTCTTAATTTAAAATAATTTATTTGAATAATTTCTTTATGTGTGACTGGAGATTAGTGTTCATGAGTAATTACTTAGTTCCAAAATGCCAATACTGCAAGTGTGGAACACTGCAAGTGTGAAACACTGCAAGTCAGGACCTACTGTAATTTTATTTAATTCCTCATTTTGTTAAATTATTTACCTATACTCACCGAGGAGTATGTGGAGATAATTTTGATGTTCTAGACTTCACTGGTGTGTGAGATGTGCAAGAAGGAGATGTGTTAGCCTTGGGAGATGAAAGAGGCTCCTTAAGATCTGGAGATGGAGAGGTTCTACAGTCACCTCCATCTGGATCTTCCTCTTGTTCAGCTAGGCCCTCTGCTGTGTAAGCACTCATGTCCAATACCCAGGGAAACTGAGAATGCAAGGAAAGAATGCCAGTGAAAATAGGTGATGCTGCAGAATGGAGATGAAATTAAATGTAATGCAAATCTAAAGGCTATATATAGCCTAATCCCAAAATCTGTACACTTTTGTATTTGCAGGATTTAATTATCCAATATTTTACTGATGGTCAACTTGCAAATGGATTAAATTATTGCAGGTATCACTTTTTTGTGGGGTTGGGGGGTTTGGCATGATCCTTAACCCTTTGACTGTTTCAGGCCCCTCTCTGAAACTCATTCTATGTCGCTCAATTTTTGAAAAAAAAAAAAAAAAAAATTATTTTTTCTTATGAAATGATAGAGAATCTTTTCCCAATGGTAATGACACCAAAAGTTCGAAATTTGGTCGAAAACTCATGGAATTATGCTCCCGCGAATTTAGCAGTCTCGGCGACATATGCGTATCAGCGATTTCGTCAACTTTGAGCCCTATTTTCAGCCAATTCCATTGTTCCAGTTGACCAAACTCATAGCTATTTCTTTAGAACTCCATTTTATCTATCAGCTGAGTACAAGAAACCTCCCATTTACTAATTTGGACTACCCAATATGGTGGTCAGAAATTGGCAATTTGGCCAATTTCCCGCAAACTAAAAAAGATGCCAATTTCAAAATAGGGTCCAGAATAAACAAGGTAGACATTCGTGGCACTAAAATAACATATGCTCTGTTCATTAGTCACATCTCTAGGCCGAGGCCTCTTATATTATTATTGCTTTCTATTTTGATTTTTTATTCATACAAAAAAATACAAAATTTACTGTTATGCAGATATTTTAAAATGGTATAAATAATATCAGTGCACTAGTGAAAGAATATTAGACTCCCCAGTTGACGTGTATTGGACGTGTGGTGTGATTTATTTACTCCTGAACATTGGTAAAAATCGAACATTTCCGCTACTTTGAGCTCAGTTTCAAGGTCGTTTTCATCGTCAAAGTAATGAAAATCATCTCTATTTCTGTAATATGTTTCCCATTTTATCACCTAAGACCATGAAAACGCGAATACAACGATAAATACTATACGAAAATACACCTCAAAGTCGGCGTTTTATTCCAAAAAAACGATCAGTTTTTTTTTCTCATTATGCAATGTGTGCTGCAGGATTTTTTTTATGTGGTGCACACTGACCACACAGACCCATTCTCTCACATGTGGGCCTACCAGCTTTCTCCCGCTTGATCTGAAGCCGCTAGAATTATTGAGTATATATACATCAGAAACATTGGCTCGTAAGACGTATTTATACGTCGAAAACAGTCAAAGGGTTAAATTATAAACTAACCACAGGATTGCTCTTAAAATGTACTCATTGGCTTTCACATGCCCAAAGCTTTCTTTTCTTTCTGGCCTTTATAATAAAGATCATGTTAACCAGACTAAAACCATATTTAAAAAGCTATATCCTCTGAAACAAAATAGGCCCAGAGCTTATTTTTTTTATTATGCAGACATAATTTATTTCTATTTGAAGATTTTAGATTTGAGGGCCATTAGGAATGCAACCCATAAATTTATGGGTTTGGGTGTATTGTACATTGCTATAGCACCTTGGGATAGAAATCAGTCTCTCAGCCTGGCTCTGTAACACCAGGATCAATTCTTGGAAGATAAAAAAAAAACTACTACTTTTCATGAATAATGGAAATTTATTTAGAGACAATTTATCTTTGAAAAGGCAGCTTGTCCTCCCAAAAAAATTAAGCCCCCGTGAAACTCTCCTCAATAATCTCAAAATAAAATCACTGATAACCCTATTTATGTTACCTCTACTGATATTTATACTAGAAAATGGGTAGACAAAACACAATGCAGGCTTTGAAACACACAAAAAGAATTGATTTTTCCACAATCCTGGAGTGATTTTTTACTGGGGGCCAAGTCTCCATTCAGTCTGACATTCTTTTGTATAAAATCTTATCAATGCACCTAATCCAGAATCTTCAGTTTTTCATCACTTGGATCTCTTTCTTTAAATCCAGATAAAGTACCTGTACAGCTGTAGATGCATCCCATACTCTCTACCTTTCCCTGTGTGCAGTGCCTATGCAGAGAACCCAAACTTTTATAATATTTTCTATCATGTTGCATTAGCTTCCCAAATTTATAGGATTGTGTTGATGGTGGCAATTAAGGCAGTGTACAACTGCCTTAACTATATGTGTCTTTATAGCTTATTGGTATCACTATACCAACAAACCGTAGATAAAGACATATAGTTAAGACTCATACAGTGTGAATTTTGTTAATTAATGATTATATATATCTTCTTCCTAGGTAGTAGGTTGATAGACAGCAACCGCCCAGGGAGGTACTACTGCCCTGCCAAGTGAGTGTAAAACGAAAGCCTGTAATTGCTTTACGTGATGGTAGGATTGCTGGTGTCCTTTTTTCTGTCTCATGAACATGCAAGATTTCAGGTACATCTTGCTAATTCTACTTACACTTAGGTCACACTACACATACATGTACAAGCACATATATACACACCCTTCTGGGTTTTCTTCTATTTTCTTTCTAGTTCTTATTCTTGTTCATTTCCTCTTATCTCCATGGGGAAGTGGAACAGAATTCTTCCTCCGTAAGCCATGCGTGTTGTAAGAGGCGACTAAAATGCCAGGAGCAAGGGCCTAGTAACCTCTTCTCCTGTATATATTACTAAATGTAAAAGGAGAAACTTTCGTTTTCCCTTTTGGGCCACCCCGCCTTGGTGGGATGCGGCAGGTGTGTTTAAAGAAGAAAGATGTATCTTCTTCTTTTAACACACCAGTTGCATCTCACCAAAGCAGGGTGACCCAAAAAGAACAAGAACTAGTTCTTGTTCTTGTTTATTTCCTCTTATCTCCATGGGGATGTGGAACAGAATTATTCTTCTGTAAGCCATGTATGTCGTAAGAGGTGACTAACATGTTGGGTGCAAGGGGTTAGTAACCACTTTTCCTGTATACATTGCTAAAGTTAAAAAGAGAAACTTTCGTTTTTCTTTTTGGGTCACCCTGCTTCGGTGGGAAACGGGGAGTTTGTTGAAAGAAAAAGACATATATACGTATATATATTATATATATATTACATTTCCTGAACTGCATAACTTAACTAATACGTACTCACCTTAAAATAGTCATCAAACTTGAGGGCTCTGGAAGCTTCCCAATCATAACCAAATCTCTTTAACTGAATAACCAGTACAGGAGGAAGAGACTTTACACATGTTCGAATAAGAGCTGTTCTCTGAAAAAAGTTAATAAATAATACAAAATCTTTGCAAGACGTGTACAATTAGCAAGAATTTCCAAGAGCTAACACCATAAAATATAAATTTCATTTAAAAATATGAATTAGTATTTTTAAATACACAAGCTGACTCCCACTATGAAAAAAAAAAAAAAAAAAAAAAAAAAAAAAAAAAAAAAAAAAAAACAACTTCTATCAGCATTCATTCACTCTCTCCAGAAACATGGTAACATTACAGCTTAGATAACTCTTTGAACTGCAGCATCCTCACCCATCTTTTGAAGTGCAGGCACCATACTTCCCACTTCCAGAGCTCAAGTCCGGCTAATAGGTTTTCCTGAATTCTTTCATGAATATTACTTTGTTCACATTCCAAGACCTAATGAAATCATAAAAATCACACACTTCCAAAAATGAAAATCAGTACTCATCAACTCCTTTACAGACTCTAAACTAGTATTGAGGCAATTTACAATGCCACTGTATATGCAACTTCAGTCTATTACTGTATCACAATGAAACCTTGTGAAAAACTACATAGACCTTTATTATCACTTTTTTTCTCTTAGCTCACTGGCCATTTCCCACCAAGGTAGGATGACCCAATAACAGGGAAACATATTCACCATCATTCATTCAATATTTGTCTTCCTAAAAGTGTGCTGATACCACAATTCAAATGACCTTCCAAAAGGCAATATCCCTATCTCTCCTTCAAAGTGCAGACACTGCCCTTCTCACTACCAGGACCCAAGTCCAGCTAACCGGTTTTCCCGAATCATGACTCAAAAAATCGTAATAACATGATTGCAAACAAACCTCAAAATGGGTGGGGGTTTAAACTCATGGTGAGTTGTAAAACTCACATAAGCCACAGGGCCAGCTGGCTACAATAAGATCCATCCAACTAGGTAGATTTATACACCATAGGGAGGGTAGCATGGGCCCCAGTGACCACAAATGCAATTTTTTACAGATGAATATCCCACCAGCATGACTGGCTGAATGGCTTATGTACAGACCTGGAGTTTTATGACTTACTTGCCATAGGTTCAAACCCTACCCGTTTTGTGGTTTCCTGAATTGAGTTGTAAATGTTACTTTGTCCACGTTTTAACAGCATATCCATCAAAAACCAACTTATCTCTACTCACTCCTCTTTAACACGCTCACACTAGTCTGCTGGACACTCAACGCCTCCTTTGCTCCCTCACTCCAACAATTCCTGGAACGACCCCTATTTCTCCTACCTTCCATCTCAGATTTATACACTGCCTTGATCATCCTATCCTTCTCCATCCTCCCTAAATTCCCAAACCACCTCAACAACCCCTCCCGAGCCCTATGAATTATATACCCTTGGTGATCCCACGACTCCTAATATTTAAGCACCGAATTCTCACACTACACATGCATTTGCCTATAATTCATAGCACTGTTCAAATATGAATTCAATCATCAATAGCATAAATTGTTAGGTAAGAAAATTCTACTTTAAAAATGGATAAAGGAAACTGCTAGTGATTCTTAAAGTTTATCAAAGCTTCCTCTTGTATCCAGCTAAACAAGGCAGCAAGGGATATATTTAACACCATGTACTGTGGAATATATTTTAATTAATTATATTCCACAATCATAGAGTACTTCTTCATTTGGTTCTGACGTACTTTTGAACAAAATGTTCGCAATGTATTCATTCCAGATTCTAAATTTTAAGCAGTACCTTCTGTCATGCTCCCATTTTTCAACAGTTTGCTGCTGACATAAGTTCTATCTATAATACACAAAAATATATACCTTTATATATACTTTTTAATCATTAATATTCCTCCAATATTGCAATGTAACAATTACCTTTTGACTGCACTTTTCACAGAAATAGGCATTGTCACCTTCTAGGAGCTCTCCCTTAATAAACTGGTCTAACGAGTCCTGCAGGTCATGGCACTTGGTGACAGTAAGGTTTAGCGCCAAAAATGGCTCCTCTCTTTCATATCTGAAATGAAAGGACTCAAAGATAAGACTACATATGAAACTTACTAACATTTAGGTTAAGACAAATTTATCCCCACTGACAGTAAATAAAATATATACAGGATTACTCAAATTTATTTCAGTTGCCTATAGTAAAAGATCTATAACCCAATATCACATAAAATGAAAATGCAACCACATACAGGTAAATAAAAATAGGTGAATAAATACCCCTCCCTCCAACCATTCCTGACCCCTATTCATCCTACTTTTCACCTTTGATTTATATACCTTTTCATCATCCTATCACTCTCCATACTTTCTAGAGGCCCAAACCAATTCAGCAAAACCGTCCTCAGCTCTCTGACCCCAAATACTCTGAACCCTCTGCATAATATTCACACCACACACTGCTCACAGACACAACATCTCCACTGCCTTTAGCCTCTTTCTTGCTGCAACATTCAAAGTCCATGCTTCACACCCATACAAAAGTGTTGGTACATGAAGATCAAAAAAGAAGTGGAATGAAATGTCTTTGGAAGAAGACACAAGAGAAAGGATCAAGAAGAAAGAATTAAAAAGAGATATTATTTTTTGAACCATTCTCAGAAAGCAGAAAGAGGGTTAAAAATGTTAAAGAAAACATTGAATAACAAACAATCTGTTGGCATATTTCAAGCAGAAATTGTTCTGAGGGCCAGAACAATTTGAAGTACACAAACCTGTGAGGACAGTCCTGGCATATTCTTTGAATTGAGTATACACCTTCAAATCGCTGTGCAAACACACTTTCTCGTCGCCCACTCTTCAAATAGTCATCTACTTGCTCAGTCAATCTTGTGTAAAACTCAAATGCATCTAAGAAAGGGGAAAACATTGCCACTTTTTTCATATTTTTCTAACAATTATAAAAGTTAAAAGACAAAACAAATGGCTTCTGCATGCAAATATATTAACTTGAAAAAATTCATCTTAGAACCTTGGTTTGGACACACATTATGTAACACAGAGGCTACCATTTATTCAGTGCAAATAGCCATTTTAAATAAAAAAAAGTTCTATCCAATCAAATAAACTGGGGCCTAGAATCTTTTAAATAATACTGTACTATACTGTAATGGGGCTGCTACTCCACTGATAATACAGACCCCTCACAAGAATTCACACTTTCCAAGGACAATAGCCTCAGTATTATAAACAAAAGCAATAGAACATGAAGAGTACTAACAAATATTTATTAGTTCAAAAATTTCATTAGAGAAGGGTGTCTTGTTCTACTTCAATCCCTAACCTATTTCTGACTGAATTAGTATCCAGCCATTCGTAGGGTTTTCATGAAATGTATTCCTCAAGAATGGGATATGTTTACTGTACCCTTATTTTTAATTATTATTTTTTAACATACCAGCTGTTTCCCACCTGGTATTTTAGTCACCTCTTATGACATGCATGGCTTACAGAGGAATAATTCCTCTCGATTTCCCCATGGAGAGTATAATAATTATAATCATTGATTAACTACAATCTCTATGGCTATGAGTAGTCAATAAATACAGCCCTAAGAGACAGACTTTACAATTTGAAGAGTAATAAAAAGTTAACAGTATAAAGTATAATACCAACCTTGCTGTTCCCTGACATTGACAGGTTGCCCATCCATTCTGAAGCATTTCCAAAATTTATCTGGGACATAATACTGAAGCTGAGACTCCATGAGATGACCAAATACTGTCTGCAGCTGATAAAACAAACTGAAAATAAAAAGATGACAACCCAGAAAATTCAGCACAAGATTTACCAAAACACTTAATAAAACTATCTAGAACCATAATAGTAACATAATTTTCTTAACATACTGGACGATTCTTGTTCATTAGTGTAGTAGATCATGGCTTGGATTATCCAAAGAAAGAAATTATGTCCGAGAAAGTAAGGGTTGCTTATTCTCTAAAGACACTTCTTTTCTTTTGGTTCACAATACACAATATAGTGCTCTTTGAGAGTAGTGATGATCCTCATACAGCATAGAAACAACCTAGTGTGACATATCTGTGACCAATGTCTAGTTCTACCACCACAACCTAGTCTGTGGTCACACTTCCCTAATAACTCTCCAGACCCCAGTTCAAGTGCTTTAATATTTTAACACATATGCTGTCTTCCACAGAGGCAGGGTGACCCCCCCCCCAAAAAAAAAAAAAAAAAAAAATTCTTTTTTACATTTAGTAATTTATACTAGCTCCTTCTTCCCAGCATTTTAGTCGCCTCTTTTGCCATGAATGGCTTACGGATGAAGGATTCTTCTCCACTTCTCCATGGAAATATACATACAGTTTATGTGCATATGGAACAAACTATAATGTCACGCTTCAGTTCAACACTCAATCTGAAATTACAAGTTAGGGAATGCTGTTTTTATGAAATTAATCTCTAGCGTCACATTATTTAAATCTCTAGATTATTCTTTTGTTCTGAACTCATATTTGTATATATCAGCTCATTCTTACCAATATGTCAAGGGTTATTGCCTAGGTCATTCTGAGGTCAAAGGGGAATAAATATTTTATTGGGAGCCTCATAACTTGGGTAATAATAATCATATACCAAAAAATTTAATATCTGACCTCACAACCTGGTCTACAGGTCACCATATGACCTCTAGATTATCAGAGACACAAAAAGTTATTTGAATAAAAATAAAGGCTGAAGCATCTGTTTCAATTACTGAATAAAAACTTTGCGCATATGCATGCTTCTGTTATGGCACGGTCCCAAAGGTTAAAAACTGATGATGGGCTCGGTAGATTCAGTTGAAACATAATAGCAAGAAAAATATGTACAGCATATACACAAAGAAATTACTGCAGTTTCTTGCAGATAATAATATAGTAATCTTTATTTTTTGTTAAATAACTGTGTGTCAGATGATATCCTAGATGTCATACAATGACCTCTAGGGTATCCTGATCTAGTCTAGATGTCATACAATGACCTCTAGGGTAACTTGATCTAGTCTAGATGTCATACAATGACCTCTAGGATAACTTGATCTAGTCTAGATGTCATACAATGACCTCTAAGGTATCTTGATCTAGTCTAGAGGTCATACAATAACCTCTGGATTAGATCAAGAGGTAAAATATTAAATTTTTGACCTAGAGAAATAATACCTTAGGAACAAAAAGGCACAACACTGTAACTGGAACAATACACAAATAACCCACACATAGAAGAAAAACTTATGACGATGCTTTGTTCCAACTTGGACCATAAACTAGACACCCACGTACCCATGTTACAATATTCCAAAGAAATCATTATTGTTATGACCTCCAAACCTAGGTCATAACTTATATACCTCAGACGGAGATAAGATTTACAGATGTGAATTCAGAGCATAGGGTAACCTTGAACACCAAACTGAACAGATCTGGTGATGGTAGGGTGTTAAATCCCCCAAAATAAGGGTTGCTGAATCCTGGAACTCCCAAAAGATAGAAAAAGTGATGAAATATTGTAACCTCTATATTTTCCAAATGCAAGCTAACTGAAGTTGTAACATCTGCCAAAGATTACAGAAATATAAATAAAAACTTAATGAAAGTTTGCTCAAAGCCTTATTTCAAGCCCAAATTTCATAACCAAGGGCAAGTACTGTAGCATTAATGGAAAAAGGTTACATGCATTACACTTTTAGAGTCACACAATTCAGTAAACAAGAGCCCATAAAAGTAAGAGTAATAATTTTAAAAGCACAGAAAAACATGCACACATTAATGATTATTACTACAGTTACTATTGATAACTATCAGCAATACACCATTTAGATCCACATCTTAAGTTGCTGGAAATGCTAGGAAAAAAATAGATGATAATATGCATTTTGCTAATTGTGATGCTTACCTATCTTCATTCTCATCATCACTACAAACAGCAAGAATGTCCTCAGGTACTCCTGGAACCAAGAAGAGGTGCTGGAGGACTGAGTTCATATAGCAGGTTGCACCTCCATTCTTTAGACCTACATAGCCACTAGCACATCTTCCATCTACAGCTGGTGCATACTGGCAAATAGACAATTATACACTAATTATAGGTAAACAAAATACGATGTGCCATTTTTAAACATTAGCAATTTTGTGCAAACTGGTAACTATAAATGAGAAGGAACTAAAATATCCAAACACTGCCTTTTCTTTGTTTAGAAGCATGAGCATAATACCTTATAAAATAAAAAGCATAGAATTAGAGAACAAGGAAACATATTTTTTTTTGTTTCAACAAGTCGGCAGTCTCCCACCGAGGCAGGGTGACCCAAAGAGAAAGAAAATCCCCAAAAAGAAAAATACTTTCATCATCATTCAACACTTTCACCTCACTCATACATAATCAGTGTTTTTGCAGAGGTGCTCAGATACAACAGTTTAGAAGCATATATAAGCATATATATATATGACGATCTGTTGGAGTGTGAGCAGGGTAATATTTAGTGAAGGGATTCAGGGTAACCGGTTATTTTCATATAGTCGGACTTGAGTCCTGGAAATGGGAAGTACAATCCCTGCACTTTAAAGGAGGGGTTTGGGATATTGGCAGTTTGGAGGGATATGTTGTGTATCTTTATACGTATATGCTTCTAAACTGTTGTATTCTGAGCACCTCTGCAAAAGCAGTGATAATGTGTGAGTGTGGTGAAAGTGTTGAATGATGATGAAAGTATTTTCTTTTTGGGGATTTTCTTTCTTTTTTGGGTCACCCTGCCTCGGTGGGAGACGACCAACTTGTTGGGGAAAAAAAAAAAAAAAAGGATTATAACATATTCCTCCAAACTGCCAATATCCCAAACCCCTCCTTTACAGTGCAGGCATTGTACTTCCCACTTCCAGGACTCAAGTCCAGCTAAATCCATAATAACTGGTTTCCCTGAATCCCTTCACTAAATATTACCCTGCTCACACTCCAACAGCTCGTCAGGTCCCAAAAACCATTCGTTTCCATTCACTCCTATCTAATACGTTCATGCAAGCTTGCTGGAAGTCCAAGCCCCTCGCCCGCAAAACCTCCTTTACCCCCTCCCTCCAACCTTCTTGAGGACGACCCCTACCCCGCCTTCCTTCCCCTACAGATTTATACGCTCTCCATGTCATTCTGCTTTGATGCATTCTCTCTAATTGACCAAACCACCTCAAGAACCCCTCTTCAGCCCTCTGCTCTGACTAATACTTTTATTAACTCCACACCTCCTAATTTCCACACTCCAAATTTTCTGCATAATATTTACACCACACATTGCCCTTAGACAGGACATCTCCACTGCCTCCTTGCTGCAACATTTACAACCCAAGCTTCACACCCATATAAGAGAGTTGGTACCACTATACTTTCATACATTCCCTTCTTTGCCTCCATAGATAACGTTTTTTGTCTCCACATATACCTCAACACATCGCTCACCTTTTTTCCTTCATCAATTCTATGGTTAACCTCATCCTTCATAAACCCATCTGCCGACACGTCAACTCCCAAATATCTGAAAACATTCACTTCTTTCATACTCCCTCTCTCCAATGTGATATCCAATTTTTCTTTTTCTACATCATTGGATACCTTCATCACCTTATTCTTATCTATGTTCACTTCCAACTTTCTACCTTTACACACCCTCCCAAACTCATCCACTAACCTTTGCAACTTTTCTTTAGAATCTCTCATAAGCAAAGCATCATCAGCAAAAAGTCACTGTGTCAACTCCCATTTTGTATTTAATTCCCCGTAATTTAATCCTACCCCTCTCCCCAACACCATAGCATTTACTTCTTTTACAACCCCATCTATAAATATATTAACACCCATGGTGATATTACATATCCCTGTCTAAGACCACTTTTACTGGGAAGTAATCTCCCTCTCTTCTACACACCCTAACCTAAGCCTCACTATCCTCATAAAAACTCTTTACAGCATTTAGTAACTTACTACCTATTCCATGTACTTGCAACATCTACCTGAATGCTCCCCTATCAACTCTATCATATGCCTTTTCTAAATCCATAAATGCAATGAAAACTTCCCTACCTTTATCTAAATACTATTCACATACATGCTTCAATGTAAACACTTGATTCACACATCCCCTACCCACTCTAAAACCTCCTTGCTCATCTGCAATCCTACATTCTGTCTTTCCTCTAATTCTTTCAATAATAACCCTACCATACACTTTCCTGGTATACTCAGTAAACTTATTCCTCTATAATTTTTTACAATCTCTTTTGTCACCCTTCCCTTTATATAAAGGAATTATACATGCTCTCTGCCAATCTCTAGGTACCTTCCCTCTTTCAAACAAAAATACCAACCACTCCAACACTATATCCCCCCCTGCTTTTAATATTTCTGTCATGATCCCGTCAGTTCCAGCTGCTTTACCCATTTCATTCCACGTAATGCCTCACGCACCTCCCCCACACTCACATCCTGCTCTTCTTCACTCCTAAAAGATGGTATACCTCCCTGGCCAGTGCATCTTTTAGGAGTGAAGAACAGCAGGATGTGAGTGTGGGAGAGGTGCACGAGGCATTAGGAGTTAATGGAGATGAATGGTATTTGGGACTTGTTGGAGTGCGAGCATGGTAATATTTGGTGAAGGGATTCAGGGAAACCGGTTATTTTTATATAGCCATACTTGAGTACTGGAAATGGGAAGTACAATACCTGCACTTTAAAGGAGGGGTTTGGGATACTGGCAGTTTGGAGGGATATGTTGTATATCTTCATACATATATGCTTCTAAACTGTTGTGTTCTGGGCACCTCTGCAAAAACAGTGATTATGTATGAGGTGAAAGTGTTGAATAATGATGAAAGTATTTTATTTTTGGGGATTTTCTTTTTTTTTTGGGTCACCCTGCCTCGGTGGGAGACGACCGACTTGTTGAAAAAAAAAAAAAACTTTTGTTTTTCTCTTTGAGCCACCCTGCCTTGGTGGGATATGGCGGGTTTGTTGAAAGAAAGAAAGGTCTATATTATTAAATGTAAAAAGATCTAAAATGTAAAAATGATCTAGAGAGAAATGTGGAGGACAGCAACCTAGATTTCATAACCATCACAACACAAAAACTCAATAATATTAAACAATATACAATGTAGCCAAGAGGGTACTAAGTAATAAGAAGACAGACCAGAGGTAGAATGAAAGTAACACTCAAGAAACAGTGGAAGTTTGAAAATATAAGTTCCACACAGACCTAGATACATAAACTGTATTAGAATCAATCAAACTAGAGGGCTTTGCAAAGTGGATAGAAAGCTCTTAAGGCTCTCAAGGAAGGTCAAGAAAGAACTGAAAGGACTATGTGATAGTATGTGTTGAGGTAGGGGCTGTAGATCCAGGAGGAATATGAAGCATTGCTTGGCAGAAAAGAATAAGGGCCAAATCAAAACAATGGATAAAAATGCATTTCAATTTTTACTACCTATCCTGACTGAAATCACCATACACTGTTATGGGCCTTTGAGCCTAACTTACAGATGCTTAAGACAATTTCTATGAATTCTCACAAACAGACAAAACGTTAAGGAATTAATTTGTTCCCTAACCAGGATTTTAGCCATGGTGACCCTTATTCTTTTCTGTTGCACAATACCTTATATATAAGTGTGGTAAATCAAAATAAATATAGACAAGAGGTCTTTAGTATTTAAAGTGTTGTTGAAAGCTAAGAATAGTTATATTTATGAAGGTATACTGGAAAACCAGATCACTTGACTTGACTTTTACAAAAGTCAGGGAGAGATGTCACAGACAAGTAGGTTATCACTGACTCATATGTCTATATCCTTCTGAAAAGGCAGCTAGGTAGATTAAGCATCACCAGCATCCATTGTTTATCTATCTCTACTGGATCACAAGATATTGTGATCCAATTTTGACTCTTGATGTTACAACCTCCTCACCCCACTTTCAGAATGAAACATGGCTCAATAACATTACTCCTAATATTTTAATAATAAAATAATAAAGCACCCAAAATAAAGAGTGTAGCTGGTTACCCTTTATAAAATTCAACTTAAAAATATATTACAAATAAATTTCTCACCTCAAACTCCTTTAGTGAATCTGGGTTAAGAGTATGGTGTAAAGACACAAGATGGCCAGCAAGTGCTGTCAAGTTCCGCTCACACCGTGTCACTAAATGGACTAGGAGCTGATAAGCTGCTAACCGAGACTCTTTGCCAGTGCACTTGGCCCAATAATTTCTACTGGCACTCAGTGAATCCTGCTCAGATCCTCCTTCCATAACTAGTTTGGATGCTGGGAAAAGGTACTCAAAAACAAGTATAGGAATGAGGGTAGCACCTGCAATGTAAAAAAAAAAAAAAAAAAATAATAATATAAATATTCTATTTATTTTTATTAATAGTAGTGAATATGCAAAATTCAGATTTCTGATACTAAATGTCAAATGCAATGTTAAGATTAAGAATTTTTAAAGATCTCTGTAACCTACCTAAAATCAACCTTGAGAATAACAGTAAATAACAAAAAAAAGGCACCGAACGTCGTTGTAAGCTCCTCTCTTCTATGTGTGGGTTATTTGTGTATTGAGAATAACAGCTTGTGCACCCCATTATGCAAATAACATTTTGCATTGTTTTTAAAACTACTCATTAATGGATTTCGGCAATTTCAGATAATAAAATGAAGCTGGACAAATGCTCTAATTATCATATAAAATAGACAAAAATCCAAAATTCAAAATTTTGTTCATAGCAATAAGGTCAAACAGTTGTCTTCTGAAGTTTTGGGCCAAGACTGCTAACTCCAATGTTTGTCTGGTATGGACAAATAAAGAGGAGCTTTACAGCTCCCTTGACTCAGATTAACTTTAATTCTGTTTACATCTCAGCAGTTTAAACCTCATCTCTCCACCACGAAAAACTAAGTAAAATTACTGTAAATTACATAGTGTATTATAAAATTACTAAACAGTACAATACTGAAATGCACTACTACAATTACAACGTCCAGTTGTCTTCTGCATCAGCAGACCAAGTCCACTACTTCAGAAAATGTGAGGCAATAGGAGAAAATACACTCTCTCTTCACTTAACGATGGAGTTCCGTTCCTAAGACCACATCGGTAAACGAATTCGTATCTAAGTGAGGAGTGTACTGTAATGGTAGTGGGTTTGTGTCAACCATCTTTGATATTGTTTTAATGTCACCTTTGCACCATTAATAATATTTCTGGTATATTTCTAAATGTTTATGCAGTAGTGTACTGTATATTGTAATAAAAAGAACAGAGGAAATCAGCTCTAATATACATGTGAGGAGAGGCTATGTATCGGTTTGGCAAAACATTACCAGTGGGGTGCCACAAGGATCTGTACTTGCCCCTACAACTTTTTTTATATAAATGACTTAACAGAAGAAATAGAAAACTATGTGAATTTCTTTGTAGATGACACAAAATTCTTGTACAAAATAAGTAATAAAAATGACTAAGTTTTTAAAAGATTTTATGGATAAATTTGGCAAGAAGAATGATAGATGGATGATGGAATTTAATGATTTATACCATACAGATGAAAAAGGAGAAAGCAAAATCGGACCATATAAAAAAAGCATAGATTTTTTCGACCAATACACAAATAACCCACACACAGAAGAGAGAAGCTTACGATGATGTTTCAGCCAGTCTTGTACCATTTACAAAGTTACACTGTGACCAGATTTTAGGAGTATCACACATAGAGATCTAAGAGTTGTTTTTCATAATAAATTCTTTCTAGACCATATAAATAAAAATGTGAAAAATACACGTTACACTGACGAACTATAAAGTGGATTTCAAACATGTGGATTGAGAGATCCGTAGAAATCTGGTTCTTCTTCTTCTTTCAACAAATTGGCCGAATCCCATTGAGGCAGGATGGCCCAAAAAGAAAAAAGAAAGTTTCTCCTTTTAACTTTAATAACATATACAGGAGAAGGGGTTACTAGCCCCTTTCTCCTGGCATTTTAATCACCTCTTATGATACACATGGCTTATGGAGGAAGAATTCTGTTCCACCTCCCCATGGAAAAAGCTGTTTATACTATACATCTTTCTTTCAACACACTGGCCGTATCCCACCGAGGCGGGGTGGCAAAAAAGGAAAAATGAAAGTTTCTCCTTTTACATTTAGTAATATATACAGGAGAAGGGGTTACTAGCCCCTTGCTCCTGGCATTTTAGTCGCCTCTTACAACACGCATGGCTTACGGAGGAAGAATTCTGTTCCACTTCCCCATGGAAAAAGCTGCTTACTCTATATATATACAAGGTCAAAACTGGAATATGAAGCTGCTTAACAGAGTTCACACAAAAAACATATAGATCATATAAAAGTCCAAAGAATAGCTACAAAAATAGATCCCAGAGTTGAAAATATGAATTAAGATAAATGGCTAAAAACACTGAAGATGCTCATGCAAGCTGATAGGAAGAAAAAAGGAGACATGATAACATCACATAAAGTTATAAAAGTGGCAGTAAGGTCTACAACCATTAAAAAAAAAAAAAAAAAAAAAAAAAAAAAAAAAACTTTTAAACCCTTTGACTGTTCACGCCGTATAAATAAGTCTTACGCACCACTGTTTCTCACGTATATATACTCAATAATTCTAGCAGCTTCAAATCAAGCGGGAGAAAGCTGGTAGGCCCACATGTGAGAGAATGGGTCTGGGTGGTCACTGTGCACCACATAAAAAAAATCCTGCAGCACACAGTGCGTAATGAGAAAAAAAACTGATCGTTTTTTGGGATTAAAGCACCGACTTTGAGGTGTATTTTCGTATAGTATTTATCGTTGTATTCGTGTTTTCATGGTCTTAGGTGATAAAATGGAAAACATATTACAGAAATAGAGATGATTTTCATTACTTTGACGATGAAAACGACCTTGAAACTGAGCTCAAACTAGTGGAAATGTTCGATTTTTACCAATGTTCAGGAGTAAACAAATCACACCACATGTCCAATACACATCAACTGGGGTGTCTAATATTCTTTCACTAGTGCACTGATATTATTTATACCATTTTTACAATAATGCAGTAGCCTGCATAACAGTAAATTTTGTATTTTTTTGTATGAATAAAAAATCAAAATAGAAAGCAATAATAATATAAGAGGGGCCTAGAGATGTGACTAATGAACAGAGGATATGTTATTTTAGTGCCAAGAATGTCTATATTGTTTATTCTGGACCCTATTTTGAAATTGGCATCTTTTTTATTTTGCGTGAAAGTGGCCAAATTGCCAATTTCTGACCACTATATTGGGTAGTTCAAATTGGTAAATGGGCGGTTTCTTGTACTACTCAGCTGATAGATAAAATGGAGTTCTAAAGAAATAGCTATGAGTTTGGTCAACTGGAACAACGGAATTGGCTGAAAACAGGGCTCAAATTCGGCGAAATCGCCGATTCGCATATGTTGCCAAGACCGCTAACTTTGCGAGAGCGTAATTCCGTGAGTTTTCGACCAAATTTCGAACTTTTGGTGTCATTACCATTGGGAAAAGATTCTCTATCATTTCATAAGAAAAAATAACATTTTTTTCCAAAAATTTATCGACATAGAATGACAGTTTCAGAAAGGGGCCTGCGACGGTCAAAGGGTTAATGAGGCTAGGATATGAGCATAGCTGATAAATATAAGTAAGTAATTACAGCACCTGAGAAATGGGAGATAATCAATTTGATCTTAGAAACAGAAAATTCCAGTTTGGGAGAACAAGAGCATTTCACCAGGTTCATACCTGAAAACTCACCTGTTTCTTCCTTATTTATCCCTTCACATGATAATAAAGCTGTAATAAGGGTCAGATGGCCAGCCAGTAAAACATTATCAGCACTGCGCAATGTTGGTATGCCAGATTCCGGTCTCTCACGAGCAGCTTCTCTGGTAGCATTAAAATTGGTGAGCCATCCTATTTCATCTTCTAACATCTGATGAACACTGATTCCAAGTGATTCTTGGTCACGAGCACTGAGCCCTGATAATAACTTTGACCTGACAAAAGAAAAAAAAAAGCACTTGAATTATTTAAATACAGTGGACCCCCGGTTAACGATATTTTTTCACTCCAGAAGTATGTTCAGGTGCCAGTACTGACCGAATTTGTTCCCATAAGGAATATTGTGAAGTAGATTAGTCCATTTCAGACCCCCAAACATACACGTACAAACGCACTTACATAAATACACTTACATAATTGGTCGCATTCGGAAGTGATCGTTATGCGGGGGTCCACTGTATACTGCATTGTTTTGATTTAAACAGAACAATTCCCTCTTAATATTTTATGGGATTGTGTGGATAATGTACACAACCATTTCACAATATCACCAAATGTTACACATTTTACGGAAACTTGAAGGTTCTTAAATATTGCTAGAGTGCTTTGACAATATTCACCACTAACACTAAGCCAATTCCTAATTTAGAATCATGTCTTCATTCACTCTAATCTTTACACTAAGTGTCTCCACTATACATTAACCAGAATCTTTCTTGTAGCAATATCTTTAACACCCTTTTCCATCTATGTATTACTCCCTGCATCTATCCATCTATCCCATATTATGACTCTCCTACTAATTTTTTTTTTCAACAAGTCAACTGTCTCCCACTGAGGCAGGGTGACCCAAAAAGAAAATACTTTCCTCATCATTCAACACTCTCACTTCACTCATACATAATCAGTCTTTGAAGAGGCACCCAGATACAACAGTTTAGAAGCATGTATAAAGATATATAACATATCCCTCCAAACTGCTAATATCCCAAACCCCCTCCTAATAAAAATCTTCTTTCTAAATTATTACATTTCTTCACAATTAAATTTTCTTGTACCCTTCCTGCCATCTGCAATCTTCTTCGATAAGAATAAGTCAAAATAAAGAAGATAACTGCAAATACTCTTCATCCTTTGCAGACGTAGTTGCTACTTTTTTTTTTCATGACCCACCCTCTGCTGGTTCGATATCCTTGACACTTTTTTTTTCTTTTTAACAAACAGGTCATCTCCCACCAAGGTAGGGTGACCTGAAAAACAAGGAAAGGCATTCACCATCATTCATTCAATAGCCATTCTGCAAGCCATGTGCCAATACCACCACCCAAATGACCCAACTGCAATATCCCCAATTCCTCCCTCAGTGCCAGCTAACCATTTTCCCCTGAATTCCTTATAAACGTTACTATCCTAAAACTCCAACAGCACATAAAAAAAAAAAGAACACTTGTCTCCACTCAGTTTGATCTAAATCAGGATTTGACATACAATCCTGTTTGTATGTTAAACTCCCAGCACTCAAAAATCTCCCTTACCCCCTCCCTACAATCCTTCCTAGGATGACCACTACTCCTCCCTTCCTTCCATCCTGATGTATACACCCTCTTGGTCATCCTAATCTTCTCTAGCCTCTTTAAATGTCCAAACTACCTCAACAACCTCTCCTCAGCCTTTGAATTATACTCTTGGTGACCCTACATGGTTTTCTAATCTCTACGCTCCAAATTCTCTGCATAATATTCACACCACACATAACCCTCAAATATAACATCTTCACTGCTTCCAATCTCCTCATTGCAACATTTAAAGTACTTATAACACTATACTCAAGTCGTCCTGGAAATGGGAAGTACAATACCTGCACTTTAAAGGAGGAGTTTAGGATATTGGAAGTCTGGAGGGATATGTTATGTACCTTTATACGTATATACTTCTAAACTGTTGTATTCTGAGCACCTCTGCAAAAACAGTGATTATGTGTGAGTGAGGTGAAAGTGTTGAATGATGATGAAAATATTTTATTTTTGGGGATTTTCTTTCTTTTTGGGCCACCCTGCCTTGGTGGGAGACGGCCGACTAGTTAAAAAAAAAAAAACTGCTACTTTTCTTTTCTTTTTTGCCTCCATAGATAAACTTCTTTCCACTTATTCCTCAACACATCTTCAAAAAAGCTGTAAATCAGCAAAATATGCAATAAAATAAAATTTTAGCACATTTTTCTTTTTTTTAATGTTTCACGTTTTTTAATGTTTCACACATCTCATGATGGATAAGCGTAAAGTTAACTTATATACTGGTATATAACTTCCACCATTCAAAATATATTTCACCTGTATTTTTTTCTTTAACACGTTGGCCATTTCCTAAAAAGGCAGGGTGACCCAAAAAGAAAGAAAAAACTTTCATCATTAAACACTTTCACCATCACTCATACATAATCACTGTCTTTGCAGAGGTGCTTAGATACGACAGTTTAGACGTCCCTCCGAACTGCCAGTATCCTAAACCCCTCCTTTAAAGTGCAGGCATTGTACTTCCCATTTCCAGGACTCAAGTCCGGCTAACTGGTTTTCCTGAATCCCTTCACAAAATATTACCCTGCTCACATTCCAACAGCTCATCAGGTCCCAAAAAACCATTCATCTCCATTCACTCCTATCTAACCCACTCATGCATACTTGCTGAAAGTCCACAAAACCTCCTTTACCCCCTCCCTCCAACCTTTTAGGGATGACACTTACCCTGCCTTCCTTTCCCTACAGATTTATATGCTCTCCAAGTCATTCTACTTTGTTCCATTCTCTCTAAATGACCAAACCACTTCAACCCTCTCTTCAGCCCTCTGACTAAAACTTTTAGTAACTCCACACCTCCTCCTAATTTCTATATTTTATATGCATAAAAAGTTGATTTCTGAAACCTGGGGAGCAACCTACATGCTCAAGGCTTTGATATGTGTGATAACCGAGATGATTATCACGACAGAGGAGATTTCACACACCGCTCTAAATACATGACTGTCGGTAATGGAACATAGTTAACACTGTTATGACTCCAATTTACATTCTGACATTTGGCTGATTTAAAGAACTGTAACTGTCAAATCTGCCTCAGTATCTGTACACCATAAACAACAATATCTAGAATCTAAGAGATTCTATATATAGTGCAAATATATCAAAAGACTTTTCCAACCAAAACATCATCACATTAAATATATAAGCAATAATCTATCACTTACCTGAGACTAAAGTACTGGGTACATTGTGATAGAAGTTTGAGCGTTGCACCTCGAGCACTAGTGGAGGGCACCCATAAGGGAAGGGGAGCTTTCAAGAGCACCTGGAAAAGCAAATTATATATTTGTATACAGTGGTCTAAACTAACATCTGCTTACAACTAAATATGAAAAGTTATAACCAATTAGTGTAAATGATCAGTTCAGTGGCAGTACCAAGGAGGGAAGAGATCCCATACCTTTACCTTTAATATACCCTTGATGAGTTTCTAAAGTTTTTATACTCCAAGTCCAGAGGATTGTCTGGTACTTGCCTGATTAACCAGGCTCTTGCTGTTGGTGGCACGGTGGGCCACGTATCCATCATAGCCTAGTTGATCTGACACTTGGTGAAGATACTTGTCCAGTTTTCTCATGAAGACTTCTACACTTGCCCCAGCAGTGTTTCTGATATTTTCTGGTAAGATGTTCGACAATCAGAGACCAAGAATGTTGATACACTATTCTCTTATTGTGCCCACAGTACTGAAGCTCTTCACTTGGTGCATTTTACAATACCTTCCATATCACTCCAGTATCTAATGGCAGTGTGGAGATTCAGGACCAGGCCCTCAAGTACTTTCCATATACATGTATTTATTTATTTTTTTTGTTTTCAACAAGTCGGTCGTCTCCCACCGAGGCAGGGTGACCCAAAAAACAAAGAAAATCCCCAAAAAGAAAATACTTTCATCATCATTCAACACTTTCACTATATATATAACTATATATATTATCAAGTATGTCTTTCTCTTCCAATCCAGTGAGAACATATTTAGGAATTTGAGATGTTCCCAGTAATCAGGTGCTTTATTGACTCGATGCAAGCTCTGATATTTCCACCTGCTCTGAATGGAGCCATCAACACTGAACAATACCTTGAAAGAGTAGTGTTGCCACTGGCACAATTTCCTCTGTTTTGATAGCTCTCATTATCCATCTCCTTCCTTTTCATGGTTGTCATGACATTTGCCTTATTGTGTTCCTTGAGAGAAAGGTCAGCTGACATGATTATTGCCAAGTCTTTCATGTATTACTTTCCGTCTATTTGATGATCCTCTTGGATTTTGAATACAGTATCTATTTTGAGTTCTTCATTCTTTTTGTACCTAAGCAGCTGGAACTTATCACCCTTGAAAACTGTTTTCTAGTGCCCACTAGACAACCCTGTTTATATCTTCCTGCAATATTTTTGTCTTCTACCTGGGTGACATTTGCTTATTTTGTTGTCATCTGCAAATGATGATACAAAACTGTGGCAAAAACTTCTATCTATGTCTGCTACGAGGGGTAAGAAACAGTAGAGGCACCAGGATTGTACCTTTGGGTAGTGAGCTTTTTACTAAAGTTGAATTCTTCCTCTGTAATCCATGCGTGTCATACGAGGCGACTAAAATGCTGGGAGCAAGAAGTTAGTAACTCCTCCTCCTCCTGTATATTTTTTTTTTCCAACAAGTCAGCCATCTCCCACTGAAGCAGGGTGACCAAAAAAAAAAAAAAAAAAAAAAAAAAAAAAAAAAAAAAAAAAAAAAAAAAAAAAAAAAAAAAAAAAAAAAATTCATCATCATTCAACACTTTCACCATCACTCATATATAATCATTGTCTTTGCAAAGGCGCTCAGATACGACAGTTTAGAAGTCCCTCCAAACTGTCAATATCCCAGACCCCTCCTTTAAAGTGCAGGCATTGTACTTCCCATTTCCAGGACTCAAGTTTGGCTAAATCTATAATAACCGGTTTCCCTGAATCCCTTCACTAAATATTGCCCTGCTCATACTCCAACAGCTTGTCAAGTCCCAACAGTCATTTGTCTCCATTTACTCCTAACACACACACACACGCTTGCTGGAAGTCCAAGCCCCTCGCCCACAAAACCTCCTTTACCCCCTTCCTCCAACCTTTTTGAGGATGATCTATACCCCTCCTTCCTTACCCTACAGATATATGCGCTCTCCAAGTCATTCTACTTTGATCCATTCTCTCTAAATGACCGAACCACCTCAACAACCCCTCTTCAACCTTCTGACTAATACTTTTAGTAACTCCACACCTCCTCCTAATTTCCACACTCCAAATTCTCTGCATAATATTTGCACCACACATTTTTTTGTCCCTTAGACAGGACATCTCCACTGCCTCCAGCTGCCTCCTTGCTGCAGCATTTACAACCCAAGCTTCACACCCATATAAGTGTTGGTACCACTATACTTTCATAAATTCCCTTCTTTGCCTCCATAGATAACGGTTTTTGTCTCCACAGATACCTCAACGCACCACTTACCTTTTTCCTTCATCAATTCTATGGTTAACCTCATCCTTCATATACCCATCCACTTACAAGTCAACTCCCAAATATGGGGAATCAAGTACAAAATGGGAGTTGACAAAAATACTTTTTGCTGATGATACTGTGCTTCTGGGAGATTCTAAAGAAAAGCTGCAAAGGTTAGTAGACGAGTTTGGGAGGGTGTGTAAAGGTAGAAAGTTGAAAGTGAACATAGATAAGAGTAAAGGTGATGAGGGTATCTGTATAAATTACTGAGTTTAAAAAGAAAAAACTTTTGTTTTTCTTTTTAGGTCACCCTACCTTGTTGGGATATGGCCAGTTAATTGAAAAAAAAAAAGACTAAACTTTGATGTTTCGTAATAAATATCTATTTTTTTTTTTTCAACAAGTCGGCCGTCTCCCACCGAGGCAGGGTGACCCAAAAAGAAAGAAAATCCCCAGAAAGAGAATACCTTCATCATCATTCAACACTTTCACCTCACTCACACATAATCACTGTTTTTGCAGAGGTGCCCAGAATACAACTAGTTTAGAAGTATATACGTATAAAAATACACAATATATCCCTCCAAACTGCCAATATCTCAAACCCCTCCCTTAGAGTGCAGGCATTGTACTTCCCATTTCCAAGACTCAAGTCCGGTTATATAAAATAACCGGTTTCCCTGAATCCCTTCACTAAATATTACCCTGCTCACACTCCAACAGCTCGTCAGGTCCCAAATACCAGTTGTCTTCATTCACTCCTATCTAACATGCTCACGCATGCTTGCTGGAAGTCCAAAGCCCTTGCCCACAACACCTCCTTTACCCCCTCCCTCCAACCTTTTCGAGGACGACCCCTACCCCGCCTTCCTTTCCCTACAGATTTATACGCTCTCCATGTCATTCTACTTTGATCCATTCTCTCTAAATGACCAAACCACCTCAATAAAAAAAAAGGATTTTTGATAAGATGCTAGCAAAGGAGCCATGATGGAAGTTTTTTCTTTAGATCAGCCATTTCTCAACAAGGTTAGATGACTCATAAGAGGAAATGCAATCACCTTCACAATTATTCAATAGCTGTCTTGCCAGAAGTGCACAAACTTCCCAATTCAAATGGTCCTCTAAAGTGCAACCACCCACTCGTAATTTCTACCAGCGTTTCTAAAGAATGTAAGGCAGCTGCCATTTTAGGTTACAGCAATAACCATGTACAGATGGGCCAAGGTCTGTTTCTTTTAGTATCTTGGTTAACATATATCTTAAAAAAAAGTCCACCTCATTCAACAAGAATATTAATTTGAATATAAGGTATACCGGAAAAGAGCCCACAATAAAAAAAAGTGGTGATTACAATGAATACCTGAGAAAGAAATTGCTTGGGGTGGATCTCTGCTGGTGTGGACATCGTGATAAGGTTGGTGAACTGCTGGTAAGCAACTTCTCTTACATCCTCATCACCGCATCCAACCAAAACTTCCACAATGAAGTCCTTGACATTTATCATTTCATACCAACGGTCTGAAAAAGATATGGAGACATAAAGCAGGAGTGGCAGGGAAAATTATTTGAGAAAAATAAAAGCCTCTGTACCTTTCGTTCTTTCTTTCTTTCTCTTTCTCCCTCCTCCCCCTCTCTCCCTTTCCCTCTCCTCCACTATCATTCATCACCACCAAGCCTTCTACATATACTCCTTCCTTCTCTCCTTTTTGTTAATGTGACTTTGCTAATGGTCCAAGTTGGACCGAAAAGTTGTCTTAAGCTCCTCTCTTCTATGTGTAGGTTATTTGTGCATTTTGGTTTTACTGCACAAATAACACTTTATTGGGAATATTTTCTCTATAGTAAGAACAGTCAGAAAAGTGTCTGATAGGCCTGAGACACACACATTTACAGGACTCTAAAATACTGTCACTATCACTAAAATCAGTATTTGTAAGTCTGTACAGTAGTCATATTCATTTTCACTTTACTTATCCTTCCTATTGCAGGCACTATTATACAATAAAATAATTACCTATTTCTCTTCATGGAAAAGTGGAGAAGAATCCTTCCTCCCTCAAACCATTCTTTCCTGTGAAATTCATCCATTACCACAGTGAAATCTGCATAATTGCTACTTACTGTATATCATTTTATATAGAAATCTTCTTGATTTGCTTCATTCAAATTAGCCTGTTTCCTTATTATGGTACCAGATGCGGTACTGTACTCTCATGTAGGGACGGGTTGGTATCCAAGTTTTGTTGATACTGATAACGACACTCAATTTTAGGCTGACATTGATACCATCAATATTAATTGATACTAATACCAATGCTCACGTTTAGGGCTATAATGATATAATATCAGCCAATATCTATACTTTGTCTCACATACCCCGTATTCTAACACGGGAGGGACCCCCACATACTCAGCACCCTCTTTTCAGTGTTCCACATATTTGTTTGTTTTCAACTGACCCATCATTCATTATGTTTGACACTTTTTCTCTTTTTCTGCCATATTCCACAATAGTTGTATCAGGAGAGGGAAACTGAAACCATATTTTAAGGTAAGTATTGTATGTATTTTATTTTTGTATCTTTTTTTTTTTTAAGCCTAGCCATACTGAGCACTGAATATATGATGGTGTAAACCCTTCATCAGGCATTTTAGATGCATCTAATATCGAAAATACACTCTTTTCCACTTGCCAGCAATTTTCTCTCATCGCTGGGTGGTTGGGAACCTAACAACCATAAAAATGGGGCCCCTCCTGTACTGCATCCCATAATGAACTGTGTGACAGGATTTTGTCTAGGTTGGGCAAAATGCACCTGACCACAGAATTTGTTTGAAGGCCTAAAATGGCAGATCATGGGAAATTTGAGTGTACAGTACTAGGATTTTTGTATACTCAATACTGTACATGTTATGCCCTGTTAGCCAGTAAAATTTATAATATACATACATAAACTGAACACATTTAAAAACTAAGGTTAATTTCATTTAATGAATTTTTGGAATCCTAAATCTGAAACACCAAAGTCATACTAGAGTACCATTAGAATATTTATTACCTATGAGCTGAGGACGGAATCTAAGGCAGGCTACGAGGAGGTGAAGAGCTTGTGATGCTATAAGAGAATCAGTGGGTCGTACTGTCCCCTGCTGAACACAGACACCACATTGCAGCACGCCTTCACTGTCACTGCTTGAGCTATGAGCACTTCCTGAGAGGACAAAAAACACACAATAATACTGTACTGTATTACAGTACATGGTACTGAAGCTTCAGGTAAATATACAAAATTTTATACTGTATTTAAGTATCACATACAGTATATACATGCCAGGATTTCCTGTTCAAGGTATACATGTAATCAATAAGAACCTTATTTACTTTTTTATCACATTAATTATTTTTAACACACTGGTTGTCTCCCACCGGGGCAGGGTGACCCGTAAAAGAAACACATTCACCATCATTCATTCCATCACTGTCTTGCCAGAGGTATGCAGATACTACAGTTCAGAAGCCCCTCCAAACTGCAAATATTATATTCCCACCCAGTCCTTCAGTACAAAAATAGTGCAATATTATGGGATCCTCGTATAAGAGGATGAAATGCTGACTTCGAAAACAGAGCAATACCATGTGATAATTATATACAAGAATGATACAAAGAAATCTTTGCAGTGAACTTTCTTACCTGTACTACTCTGTCTGGAGGATTTGCAATTTTCAGGTAGCGAAATAGCCGGATCAGTTGTCATTGTTGCTGATGAGAGGTACAGCTTTCCTGCAGCACCAGCCCATGATACTCTCATCAAGCTTGACACCATCTCACTCCATTCTTCCACACTGAATCTCTGTAGCATGTAAATTTGAAAGTTGGCTCACAAAAAGCACAATGGGATCCAATGACAGTATGACTTATGAAAAGTAGTATACTCTAGAAAGAATAAAAGGATACAATTCATTCTGTAACAATACACAAGTAACTTGCTCTTAGGAGTGGGAAAGTACCAGTAATGATAACATTTCAGTTATTACATTCCTTCCCCTAAGGGAGGGTTGTGTAGAGTACAGTATAGGCTAGGCCAAGTCTGTAAAGAATCTACAGAAAGATATGCTACTACACACTACAACCTAATAAAGAAAAATACAAATGTTACAACAGGACCCCAAAAGACTATGAATTAAAAAACTACTTAAGAAGTATATGGAAAAGGTCTTTCACAAATCTTAAGATCCAATAAATTAGTCTAAAGTATTAACACTGAGTACTGAACCCCTGAATTTCAGAAACAAACTCAACAGCATTTTAGTAACCATTAAGATTAACCTAGTCAGTAATAATCTTACAAGTAACTATCCAGAAAGATGCACAAGTATTATCACCAACAACTGCAATGCTCTTGGGTGGTGCTAAAGAAATAAAATGGGAAGAGTATTTTCACTGTGTCAGAACCTACCAATATGACCCTATTAGCAATGATGGGTGTAAGAGAAGAAAACGCAGTAGGAGGAGGACTAGCTTGAGCAGATGAGTCAAGTGCTGAACGTTTTGGAGGACCTGGGTGAGGTTGTTGCCCAATAACTGGCAATTCCTGTCCTTTAGGTGTCGAGCCACAGAGTAAATACCTGCAAAATAAAATGAATCATACAAGTTTATGAAGGTAATATCCTAGATTAAACATAATATCTGACCTACACTTTTTAGCTTAGTCTCATAATACTTTGACTACATACATATTTAAGTCCTCACTTAGCAATAGTGTATCAGCTTCTTTATTTAACACACTAAACATCTCCCATCAAAGCAGGGTGACCCAAAAAAGAAACACTTTCAACATCATTCACACTATCACTTGTCTTGCCAGAGGTGTGCAAAAAATTCTAGCTGACAGCAACAGCCTGGTTAATTAGGCAGCCAACAAGTAAATCTAGCCTCAGGCTGGACTGAGGGTAGAACTCTCAAAACTGGCCAAAGGTATACTTGAATTATTACAAATTTCCTTGACTAAATATTTTTTACTGATTATCTTAACTTCATACTGAATTTTCTCTTCCATTACTTCAACAACTCCTGGTGTATGTTTAACAAAACTAAAACTGAATGCTAATAATCCCTACAGTTTACATGTAGATCTACACCAGTTGTAACACTCACTCATGTAGATCTATGCCTAATTCGGTGCTCTTAACCCTTAAACTGTCCAAACGTAGATTTACATCCACGTCCAGGGGGCTCCGAAAGTAGATTTACGTTTTTCCTTTACATGCTTTCAAATGGGGAAAATCAAGGTCAGAGCGCTATGCACGTGAACGTAGATCTACGTTTGGACAGTTTAAGGGTTAAAGTTGTTGTGAGTGGCAAATTTTGGCCTAGGAATGAGAAAATGGGTGTGCAGGGTGGGTGTATGAAATATAAAAAACCTGCTTCATGCAGTGCATGATGGAAGCAGCTAACCTCTGACCCTGAATTTGGATTAAAATAATTTTGGTAACTTTTAAGTGTAGTTTTCATGGTTTCATTGCCATTTCTTGGTGTTAATAAAAAGACCAGGAAATTTTGTCGGTTTCAAACCAGAAATGGCATGAAATAGGCTGCCTCAACATGGTATAAATGCTTAATTTTTAGTAATTTTCCTGGTAAAAGGTAGGTCCACACCCCCTGGTTTATTTTGTGGGTTTATACAGAAAATAAAACTGTTTATAAACTCATCAAGCATTCAGATAAAGCAAATCTTTTCTTACCTCAATATTTGTAATGTTATTAAATAAACATTTTGGCGAATCTCATAATCCACTTCCTGAGGAAGCGAGTCCTTCTGTAGCAATGCTGTGATAAGGCTGAGTCCTCCACACATGAGAAATTCCTCACAGAAATGAGCATTACTGTTAATGGGGCCCTCAAGTGAAATTGGCATAATCTTTCCTGAAAGAACCTGAATAAAAAAAGGTAAAAATATTTACTATACATGTATATATAAAAGAGATATAAATATAAAAGTACACACACACACACACTCAATGAACAGGAACTAGTCATAAATAACAAAAAGGCACAATACCGTGACTGGAACAGTACACAAATAACCCGCACATAGGAGTAGCTTACAATGACGTTTTGGTCTCACTTTGACCAATTACAAAGGCACACTAACAAAAAGGAGAGGAGGGAGTATATATAGGCCAGCAGACATAGGCAGAACAAGAGAGGCAGTAGGAAAGGATGAAGAGAGGAAGTGGTAGAGGTAGTAGTAGTAGTAGTGGAGTCAGTCAAATACTAAGAAAGAGGAGCATTGAAATGGGAAGGGTAGCCTTCCCATTTCATAGACTCTGCCTTCTCACGTGCTAAACAGACTTTCTTCTCTCCTAAACTCTCTGCTCCTGGGAACTCTCCTGTCCTCTGCCTTTCCTACATTTCCAATCTTTCTAATCTCAACAACTCTCTCCGTTCCTTAGACATCAAACTTACTTTTCGCCAGACTAACACTCTTCGCACCAATCTAGTTCATACCTCTCCTCCTTCTATAGATGCTCCTGGTGTCTACTCTATTTCTTGTTCCTCTTGTCCTCTTCAGTACTTTGGAGAAACTGTCCGTTCTCTTACTGACAGACTCGGGGAGCACAAAAGTAGTGTTAGGCTTGCCGACACAAACAATGCTCTTTTCTGTCATGTCAGAAATCACAGTACTGTAGTAGGTTCGCTAGTCTTGTCTCAGCCTGGGTCTTTTCCAAATGGTGGCCCAGTGTTCTATTGACTGGTCTTCTGCTAAAACTGTCTACCCTAATTCTAACTTTCACAGTTGCCGTCTGGTTGAATCCTCCCTTATATGCAACTTTCCTTGCATGAATCTTAGTCCTGGCTTTGTGTCTGTAGATGCTTTCCTTTCCCATTACACTGTAAAATGCTCCAAACTTCAGAACACCTGTGAATTAACCTGATTCGCTTTTTTCCCCTTCTCCTTCCCCTTTCCTCTTTCTCCTTTGGGTTTTCTTTCTTCTGCCATGGGTGTTTGGATTATTGTTCCCCGTTCCCCCCCCCCTCTTGTCCCATCCATGTCTGCTGGCCTATATATACTCCCTCCTCCTCTCCTTTTTGTTAGTGTGACTTTGTAAATGGTCCAAGTCAGCCCAAAATGTCGTTGTAAGCTCCTCTCTCTTATGTGCAGGTTAGTGTGAACTAGTCATAATATTATCACTATATACAATATCTTGAAAACTAAGTTATAGGGTACAGCAGAGCAAACAATGGATTTTTTTTATAACATGCCAGCCATCTCCCACTGATGCAGGGTGACTCAAAAAAAAAAAAAAAAAAAAAAAGAAACACATTCACCATCATTCACACATAATCACTGTCTTGGCAGAGGTGTGCAGATATGACAGTTCAGATGTCACTCCAAACAAACCCCTCCTTTAAAGTGTAGACATTGTGCTTTCTACTTCCAGGACTCAAATCTGGCTAAATGGTTTTCCTGAATCCCTTCACAAAATATTACCCTGCTCATATTCCAACAGCTCGTCAAGTCCCAAAAACCATTTGACTCCATTTACTCCTATCTAACACACTCACACATGAAAGCTATCCACCAAAAAAAAAAAATTACTACTGATTATTTTGCATAAGGTACAGAAATGCTCTGAAAATAGCATACTTTCAAATAGTGTGCATAGAAGCAATCAGTTATTTCATAATGTTGATAAGCTAATGTGTTAAGTAGAAAAAGGATATGAGCATGGCACCAACTGCATGACAGTGTGCTAATCACACATGCATGAAATAAGCAACTATACAGAGCATTGACAAACAAGACACACCAAGTTCATGACATGGCAATATTTAACAAAAAAAATCATTAATGACCATCAAATTATTCAGTACCTACACTCTGAGGGGTGGATAGTGGTGATACAATTCAGAGGGTTATTTAAATGTTTGTACACTTCTAAAAAATGACAGAGAATGAGTGATAGTGAATGCATTTGTTTATTTCTTTGGTCACTCTATCTTGGTAAGAAGTGGCTATTGTTTTTTTAAAACATCAGCCACCTCCCACTGAGGTAGGGTGATCTAAAAATGAAAACACACCTACCATCACTCACTGAACAGCAGTCTTGCCAGAAGAGCGCAGACATCACAATTCAAATGACCCTGCAAACTGCACTCCTCCCTTAGCATGCAGGCACTGTACTTTCCACCTCCAGGACTCAAGTCCAGCTAACCAAAAATGTCTATGTGTTAAAAATCTTTATATCCATGATGCTTCAACTCCCCTGGAAAAACTCCTCTTGATAGAAGGGTAGGGGGGTAGAAGTCATGAGAAAAAAAACCCTCACCAAATTGATATAAACATGTTCTATCCATCTTGTGATTTTACTGAGCTTTTCCAATGAGCTCTCAATTTTTCTTTCCAGATGAGCCATATATGTGCCAGCATACATGCAACACACAGCTAGGTTTTAAATAAATTTGTGAACAACTGTCAGATTTTATTATAGAAATCATATTCTGGTCTAATAAAAATATTATTTATTTGTCTAAGTTACCCAAAAGAGTTACCCAAAAGAGCAGTGATGGTATTTTTTTACATGACTACATTTAAGTTGCAGCACCATTTACAATTATGCCCCTTTCAATTAATTTTTCCTAGACTTTTTGTCACTCGGGCTTGTCTTTTTTGGTTTCTTTCCTCCTATTTTCCCAACTATTTTTACTTGCTAAGTTTTTTCAATTTTCCACACTTCTCTGTTTCTTTCCTGTGACAGCCAATTAACCTGTAGAAAATTTTAATAAACGTTTCAGAAGGTTCTGTGTGTTTTTAACACTTACATGAAGTGTATCTTTCATGAGATATATAATACAGTGGACCCCTGGATTAAGTCTTTATCGGAATAAGTAATATTCAGAATAAGTAACATTTTTTGTCAAAATATTGGCTCGGTGAACGTCACTGAACTCGGTATAAGTCATTCGTGTCAGGGCTGGTCCTAGTGGCATTAAAAAACAAAGGAGGGAAGTAACCCAGGATAAGGATTTGGTACCTGAAGTCTTTATGGAAGGGGATTATCCCTCCAAACAATTGTAAACTCCTCCATCCTCTCCCCTCCTCCCATCTTCCATACATCACCATGTCTTCAATAAAGGTAAGTGTGGTGTTATTATTGTTTTATTCTTCATGTATCACTGTTTTCTGTGTAGGTAAATGTACATTTCATGTAAAAAACATTTTTTAATACTTTTGGGTGTCTGAAACGGATTAATTGGAAAATTAATTCGGAATAAGTCAGATTCGGGATAAGTCACTCTCTCTGTAATGGATTAAATACGTAATCCAGGGGTCCACTGTATCACTTTTTTTATCTTCCTGTAAACTTACAAATGCTGTTTTCTTTATTAAAGCTACAGTAGGTTTGATTCGTTTACATAAACCTAAAAACACGGAAACTTAACCACAAATAAGCAAATGAAAAATGGCCACAATACATATTGCAATGAAGTGGCCAGATGTAGCCAGGAAATATGCAAATCTGTATGATTAGAACATAAGAAAGAAGGAGCACTACAGCAGACCTATTGGCCCATACTAGGCATGTTCAAGTCAAATCTGCTTAAGAGGGAAGGAGCACTGCAACAGGCCTACTGCCACCTTCTCCAAGAAGGGCAATTTCACACAAATATAGCATTAAAGACACTGCATATCAAATAAAATTTCTTAAAGTAGCATAATTTATGGCCATGTTATAAACAAAATCTTCAGTATCTGACAAATATGCAATGTTTTAGTTATATGAATGGATATTAGACAAACAGATAAACAAATGGATGACATGAATAAAGCAATAAATCACTCCTCCGATACGTTGTAGGAATATTGTGAGACAAAAATTTATAGAATAAAGTATAATACAGGTGTAGGTAGGTTCATTCATTGAAGGAATAGGAAAAAACTCCTTAAGCAAAAGAACTACAACGGAGATGTAAAATGTACAGCACACAAAATAAGAAGCAAGACACACACATGGTGGAAATAAGAATGAAAAATGTACAAGAATATATGAAACTTTTAACAAAAGCACAAATGCTAATGCTGAAGATAGGTACGAAAAAAACATGCACAAAAATGACGTTAATGCGAAAATGCAGAGCTTCCACAGATGAAGAATAAATATTATCATCTAAGTAAATCAACCAGAGAGAAAGGACTAAAGCAAAGTTAGAAACATATTGACGAACCTCCATATTATATAAAAGTCTAAATGGCGTCATATCAGTTGCATTAAGATCAAGTAAAGAACGTAAAACATCTCTTCCTGTTTCTCTGTCTTTCTCTTTGTCTCGAGTCTTGTCTCTCTTTGCAGGAGATCCATAAGGAGTGGTCCTTGGACTAGCATCAACAGCAGCAATTCCCACACTGCATATAGAGTCAAACTTGTCAGCGACACTTGGGTCCGTAGGCACAAGATATAGCACACGTCGAACGGCTTCCACAATCCTGTTTTGGGTTAAGTTTACCAATGATACATTTCCTCTGAGGATATATATATATATATATATATATATATATATATATATATATGCATAAGAACTTAAATTAAAAACAGTGCCTTGATACACAATCTGCCAAAGTACATTCATTCTGTTATGAACCATAATAGAAATCAAGTATGGACTTTCATATCTTTCATCAATGAACATCTTAATTCTTCCCTCCCCCCCCCCCCCTCAATATTCTCTGTCTCTTTCTTAAATACCCATACTCATAAACATGAACAAGAACTATATGTATATTTTTTTTTAACCCACTGGTCATATCCCACCGAGGCAGGGTGACCTTAGAAGAAAAACAAGTTTTTCTCTTTATATTTAGTAATTTATATAGGAGAAGGGGTTACTAGCTCTGTGATTCTGGCCTCTCAGAAGCCTCTCATGACATGCATGGTTTATGGAGGAAGGATTCAAGAATTATATATTCTTATTCTTATGAATAATAAAGGCTTAGTATACAGATTCTCAAAACTTTACATTACTGAAAGGCAACTATTTATCTATATCAGCTGGAACTTTTACTTTCATAAGCAATGAGTGGAGCATGTACCATATTTATGAGTTGTAAGCATACCATGGGGTGGATCATTCAAACAAACAAATAAAGGGCAGAGATATTTCCATACTGTAAATACCCATTATACACACCTTCAAATTTGTCAAGTGAGGCCTTCACCTCCATATACAATACTTTCACATCCTATGAAACCTTTCCATTGTACATGATCTGTAACCATTCTCCCTAAATTGCATTTTATTATACATCTCTATTTGTCTCACTCTGAACATCATTTTTTCGTTACAGTATTAATTTTTATTATATTAATTTAAACTACAGTAAACCCTCTCATAACTCAACCCTACATATTACAATTTTAGCTGAACACCACTTAAAAACTGCAATAGTTCTTTCACAATGCTAAGAAATCCTCGATATTATTTTCCACGAGAGGCAGATTTTTCCCTCCTAATCAAACTGGGCCTACAGGCAGGAAGGTCCACAGTTTTGAGAAAAAGCACAGCACCATCCCTCCCTCACGGTCACCCATACTACCTACATCATATCACTTGTTCTACTCAAAATATAACAGCTGACTTCGTGAAAGCCTATACAGTGGACCCCCGCATAACGATCACCTCCCAATGCGACCAATTATGCAAGTGTATTTATGTAAGTGCGTTTGTACGTGTATGTTTGGGGGTCTGAAATGGACTAATCTACTTCTCAATATTCCTTATGGGAACAAATTCGGTCAGTACTGGCACCTGAACATACTTCTGGAATGAAAAAATATCGTTAACCGGGGGTCCACTGTACTAATTTATCACAAAGAGACTTCAAGATTTAAAAAAAAATCAAGACAAAAACCTGTCTGCCTGTTATCTGGCAGTCTAACAAAGCAGCATGGATGGCCGAGGTCCTGTTTATTGAATGGTTCAAACATTATTTTATTCTTTCAGTTAAGATGTACCTAGACAGAAAGAAACTTATGTTGAAGGTTCTCCTAACTCCTGATAATTCCCAAAGCCACCCTCTAATTTTGCAGTCTGTGGATCCAAATGTGAAAGTTATATTTATACCACCCAATATGACAGTTCTGATAAACGTACTGGACTGAGGAGTTAATAAGCCATTTAAGTGTCACTACATATAAAAAGTCATGAAAAACCTCATCACAGCAATAAATGACAGTTGTGAGACTAGTATGCCAGAATTCTAGTGTAGACTGAATATTGCAGATACATTTATGTACATAGTGGATAGTAGGTTGGTAGATAGCAACCACTCAGGGAGGTACTACCGTCCTGCCAAGTGAGTGTATAATGAAAGCCTGTACTTGTTTTACATGATGGTAGGATTGCTGGTGTTTTTTTTCTGTCTCACGAACATGCAAGATTTCAGGTATGTCTTGCTACTTCTACTTACACTTAGGTCACACTACACATACATGTACAAGCACATATATACACACCCCTCTGGGTTTTCTTCTATTTTCTTTCTAGTTCTTATTCTTGTTTATTTCCTCTTATCTCCATGGGGAAGTGGAGCAGAATTCTTCCTCCGTAAGCCATGCGTGTTGTAAGAGGCGACTAAAATGCCGGGAGCAAGGGCAAGTAACCTCTTCTCCTGTATATATTACTAAATGTAAAAGGAGAAACTTTCGTTTTTTCTTTTGGGCCACCCTGCCTCGGTGGGATACGGCTGGTGTGTTGAAAGAAAGAAAGAAACATGCAAGATTTCAGGTATGTCTTGCTCTTGCTACTTCTTCTTACACTTAGGTCACACTACACATACATGTACAAGCATATATATACACACCCCTCTGGGTTTTCTTTCTAGTTCTTGTTCTTGTTTATTTCCTCTTATCTCCATGAGGAAGTGGAACAGAATTCTTCCTCCGTAACCCATGCGTGTTGTTAGAGATGACTAAAATGCCGGGAGTAAGGGGCTAGTAACCCCTTCTGTAAAAATTACTAAAATAAACCCCTTGATTGTCGCAACCCCCAATCCTGAAGTGTCTCTTGGTGTCACAAAATTTAAAAAAAAAAACAAATTATTTTTTCTCATGAAATGATAGAGAATATTTTCCCGATTGTAATGACACCAAAAACACGAAATTTGATGGAAAACTGACGGAATTACGCTCTCGCGAAGTTGGCGACCTCAGCAATATTTACAAATCGGCGATTTCGCCCACTTTGACCCCTATTTTCGGCTAATTCCTTTGTTCCAGTCGACCAAACTCATAGCTATTTCTTTAGAACTCCATTTTGTCTATCGATTGAGTACAAGAAACTGCCCATTTACCGATTTCAACTACCCAATAACATGGTCAGAAATTTGCAATTTGGCCAATTTCACGAAAATTAAAAAATACAATTTCAAAATACGGTCCAGAATGAACAATGCAGACATTCCTGGCTCTAAAATAACATTTTCTTTGTTCATCAGTCATGTCTCCAAGCCCCTCTGATATTACTCTTGCTTTCTATTTTGAATTTTTATTCAAATGAAAAATAGAAGATTTACTGTTATGCAGACTACTGAAATACTGTAATAATTGTATAAATAACATCAACCCATTCATGACTGCATATTAGAATGGCTAGTTGGACATTTATTGGATAATGACATCATTTGTTTACTTTTGAACATCGGCAAAAATCAAACATTTCCCCTACTTTGAGCTCCATTTCCAGGTTCTTTTTATAGTAAAATCAATCAAAATCACCTCTATTTCTATATGTTTTCCATTCTATCAAATGAGACCAAGAAAACGAGAATACAACCATAAATACTATACAAAAATAGACCACAAAGTTGGCATTTTAATTAAAAAAAATGGTCGGAGTTTTTTTTTTTCTCATTATGCACTGTGCTCCAAGATTTTTTTTTATATGATGCACACTGACTACACAGACCCATTCTCTCACATGTGGGCCAACCAGCTTTCTCCTGCTTGATTTGAAGCCGCTAGAATTTATGAGTATATATACGTCAAACACGGTACCTCGTAAGACGTATATATACGACCTCGACAGTCAGAGGGTTAAAAAGAGAAACTTTCGCTTTTCTTTTTGGGCCACCCTGCCTTGGTGGGATACAGCCGGTTTGTTGAAAAAAAAAAATGTACATTAAGGTGTCATGGTATAAAATGTTCCCATCAATCATAAATGTAGGTTGGGGTTAATTATAACAATCTGTGATGAATAATTTCTCCGGTTTTCCCCTCAATAAGGAGTCAGGGCCAGGAAATTGTGGTTCTGGCAAGGACTGTGAGGCATGAGAGCTTTCAACATATGCATGAACAAGAAAAGGATGATGAACCAGCTGCAGAAGAAATGCTAGAGGTAGTCAAACCCCAATTAGGAGAGAGGCAGGTAAACAGAGGATAAAGTACAATAACCTTCAGACAAACAGTTAATACTGGAATAGTTACATAAGCAATTCCATGTTATTGGTTAAGTTGCAGACTTTTCCACTAAACTGGACCCTGACACACACAGGCTATTACAAGGTAAAACAGACCAGACATGCATTACAGAACACCTTAGCATTCCAGTACCCCAATTAACCACTGACAACTCTACATCCATACCAACACATGAACCATAGCCATCCACCTAAGTCCAACAGGGCCACATCAACTCTCTCCACACACTTCAATGCCAACAAGCAATGACGAGAAAAATGTACGGCAAGATAAAATGCGTAGTAATTTTTACCTAGTAGAACATTAAAAAAAAAATTGTTTGGCAAATCTAGAGGCCTTTAGAACACAATGCTATTTTTCCTCATAAGTTGTTCACTTCATACACCGCTAATTTCCATAAGATGCCGATTTTCTGGGAATTGTATCCTTCATGTTATAAGAGGATTTACTGTATTTAAAATGATATGAATACAAGGTTGACAATCACTAATGAAATTTTTTTTAAATTCTAAGTTATTCTAAATGAATATAAAATAACTTGGAAATTGTTCTTTAAAACATAATTAGCTGGTTACAAGCATAGGAATTCCAAAACAATTGTATAAATGCTGCCTGACATATAGGAACATTTAGATTATACAGGTCTCCCTCAACATTCACGAGGGCCTCGCGAATGCTGAAAAATCGCGAATGTTTGGTGCCCCAATACATTGTAGGGAAATGTAATACAATACTGCTTCCTTAACTCGTTGAACCATGAACAATCATAAAATACATGAAAACGTAAATTGTACTAAATACATACATGTTATGGTTTAATAACATGTATGTTATTAAATACCACTGCCTCCACCACTGCCTCAACTGCTGCGAGTCCCTACTACCTTCCCTCTGACCCACACAACTGGCAGCCAGCCCTTCCACCACTGTGTGGTGAGTGTTTTGTTTGTTCATTATTTGCTATTAAACTTCAGTATAAATAATGTCAACCCATTCATGACTGCATATTGGAATGGCTATTCGGACAGGTATTGGACGGTGACATCATATGTTTACTCTTGAACACAGCAAAGAATCAAACATTTCTGCTACTGCTAATAATAACAACAACAATAATAATAATAATAATAATAATAATAATAATAATAATAATAATAATAATAAATAATAATAATAATAATACCTAGGTAGTAGGTTGGTAGACAGCAACCACCCAGGGAGGTACTACCGTCCTGCCAAGTGAGTGTAAAACGAAAGCCTGTAATTGTTTTACATGATGGTAGGATTGTTGGTGTCCTTTTTTCTGTCTCATGAACATGCAAGATTTCAGGTACGTCTTGCTACTTCTACTTACACTTAGGTCACACTACACATAAATAACAAAAAAGGCACAATACCGTGACTGGAACGATACACAAATAACCCGCACATAAAAGAGAGAAGCGTCGTCGTAAGCTTCTCTCTTTTATGTGCGGGTTATTTGTGTATCACAATACACATACATGTACAAGCGTATATATACACACCCCTCTGGGTTTTCTTCTATTTTCTTTCTAGTTCTTGTTCTTGTTTATTTCCTCTTATCTCCATGGGGAAGTGGAACAGAATTCTTCCTCCGTACACCATGCGTGTTGTAAGAGGCAACTAAAATGCCGGGAGCAAGGGGCTAGTAACCCCTTCTCCTGTATATATTACTAAATGTAAAAGGAGAAACTTTTGTTTTTCCTTTTGGGCCACCCCGCCTCGGTGGGATATGGCCGATGTGTTGAAAGAAAGAATAATAATAATAATAATAATAATAATAATAATAAATACAATAGAATTGAAGAAGGAAATTGTACAAAAATAAGAGGGTTGAAGCAATAGTGGAGGGAGTGGTTCACACATCGTTAGTGTGGCTTTGTTTATGCTGGAGTGAGCATTAGTCTCCGTGCTCTTCCAAACATTTCACAATAATTCGCTGTGTTTGGTGCTTGTAGATTGAGTGCGACTGGAGTGGTAGAGGCAGTGATTGAGGCAGCAGTTGAGACAGCAGTTGAGGCAGTGGTTGAGGCAGTGGTTGAGGCAGTGGTTGAGGCAGCAGTTGAGGCAGCAGTTGAGGCAGTGGGTGAGGCAGTGGGTGGGGCAGTGGTTGAGGCAGTTGGTTGAGGCAGTGGTTGAGGCAGTGGTTGAGGCAGTGGTTGAGGCAGTGGGTGAGGCAGCGGGGTTGAGGCAGCGGTTGAGGAAGTGGTATTTAATAGCATACATGTTAATAATAATAATAAAAATAATAACACGTTATTAATAATAACATGTACTGCCTCTACCACTGCCTCAACCACTGCCTCTACCATTGCCTCAACTGCTGCCTCAACCGCTGCCTCAACTGCTGCCTCAACCGCTCCCTCAACCACTGCCTCAACCGCTGCCTCACCCACTGCCTCTACCACTCCAGTCGCACTCAATCTACAAGCACCAAACACAATGAATTATTGTGAAATGTTTGGAAGAGCACAGAGACTAATGCCCACTCCAGCATAAACAATGCCACACTGACGATGAGTCAATCACTCCCTCCACTATTGCTTCAACCCTCGTATTTTTGTACAATTTCCTTCTTCAATTGTATCATATTTATTATTAACATTATTATTATTATTACTATTACAATTGTTATTATTAGCAGTAGCAGAAATGTTTGATTCTTTGCTATGTTCAAGAGTAAACATGTGATGTCACCGTCCAATACCTGTCCGAATAGCCCTTCCAATATGCAGTCATGAATAGGTTGACATTATTTATACTGTAGTTTAACAGCAAATAATGAACAAATAAAACACTCACCACACAGTGGTGGGAGGGCTGGCTGCCAGTTGTGGGGGTCCGAGGGAGGGTAGTAGGGACTCGCAGGTGGCGGGAAACTTAAATATGATTTGGCTGCTGGGAATTTAGCAGTTGGGAATTCGCAAATGTGTGAAGCCCGTGAAAGATGAAAATGCGAATGTTGAGGGAGACCTGTATAACTAACTAGAGAAGAAAACAAGTTAAAATATACATACAGTGGTACCCTGCGTTTTGGCCATAATTCGTTCCAGAACGCTGTTCAAGTGCTGTTACCAAACGAATTTGCTCTCATAAGGAATAATGTAAATTAGATTAGTCCATCTCAGACTCCCAAAAATACACTTACAAAAGGACTTGCAATAATACACTTACATAACTGTTCGAGTTGGGAGCTGTACGAAACTCGGGGTACCGCTGTAGTACAAATACAGTACAGTAGAGAAAAACAAATACATATTCACAATACAATATTAAGCATTTAATCAAATGAAAATCTGAAAATACTTCTACATACCTAGGTTCGTCTAGCTGGGCTAGTTGGTAAAGCATTGAAAACACATCGCGACCTTGACTAGCCATGACTACACCTGGTAGTTGCTTCTCCTTGTCTAAATTGTACCGGCTTCCATGGCCATCTCCAACAGCTGCTGAGAATGCCCTAGCACCCAATCTAGAGGGCCCAGCAACTGCTTCACTTGCTGCTGCTAAACTTCCAGCACCCTCAGAACTGCCTTCCTCAGAAGCTTCACAGTAACTTGCAGTACCAGGTAATTCATCCCAATTATCACCAACCTGATGATGGAAGTGCAAGATGTGAGGTAGTAGAGTGTTACAAGAAACATAATAATAATATAAAATAGAACATACCAGAAAATTTACAACTAACCTAAAAATTAAGAGAAATCCTCAGATGACAGTTCAGTCAGTTCTGGATCGTTATCAAATCATGGCAGACCTTAAAATCAACTAAAGATTTATTTACCATTTGTGGGTTAATTGCAAACTGTTTCAGCTACAGTACTGTAATTTTTATTATTCAGCTAGGTTTTCTGGAAATATTGGTGACCTCAAAATGCAATCCTATGGCATTTATGGAAAAACATGACCCCAACTAGTAGGAAGTGACAAATCTATCTCCTTTCAAATGCAGTAGCCTTGCAGATTACAGGTCTGTGCATTTGAATCGTGTATTCTTACAAGTACAGTGGTACCTCAAGTTTCAAACAGCTCCCAACTCGAACAATTATGTAAGTGTATTTTTTTAAGTGGTTTTGTAAACGTATTTTTGGGTGTCTGAAACGGACTAATCTAATTTACATAATTCCTTATGAGAATAAATTCATTTGGTACTGGCACTTTAACAGCCTTCTGGAACGAATTAAGTACCACTGTATATGACGATAAATATTTAATCTACAAAGATACAGAATGAGAAAGTGAAACTATATTAAAATGCTTGAAGACGCAAGCATAGACAATGCATGAGGCTTCAGCACTAACAGAATATTTTCCTATCATAGAGAGTTTGGAAAGTGATAAGATATTTCTTGATAAGAAATACAGCCTCTCCTCACTCTGCGACGTACTTGTTTACTGATGCCTCAGATTTACAACGGGATCTCTGACCAGTATTCATACCTAAATAATGTATATTACAGCTGATTTCCTCTATTCTCTTTATTTTAATATACAGTACACTACTGTATAAACATTTAAAAAAATACCAGAAATGTTATAAATGGTGCAAAGGTGACATTAAAACAATATCAACAATGGTTGACACAAACTTACTACCATCATAGTATGCTTCTCACTTAGCGACAAATTTGTTTAACGACGTACAGTGGACCCCCGCATAACGATCACCTCCGAATGCGACCAATTATGTAAGTGTATTTATGTAAGTGCGTTTGTACGTTTATGTTTGGGGGTCTGAAATGGACTAATCTACTTCACAATATTCCTTATGGGAACAAATTCGGTCAGTACTGGCACCTGAACATACTTCTGGAGTGAAAAAATATCGTTAACCGGGGTTCCACTGTAGTCTCAGGAACGGAACTCCATCGCTAAATGATGAGAGGCTGTAATACTTATTTTTCATTAAGAAAACAATGTAGAATTAAACAACCAATATTTATATTTCTTTCCTACCTCTTTCAGCTGAGCAGCACTTGTAATGTTGATCTTGGCTATGACTGATTTGTTATAGGTCACACCCAAGTGGTGCAGAAGACGACTGTCTTGTTCTCCTCCATTAACTAGCACTCCACCGCCACTATCACCAAAGGACAGAGTCTGAACCTGGTCAAGGGGCACTCGAGCATAGCTGGCAATTTTTCCTCGCACAGAGCCAACATGTTCATTACTGTGGCACTGTGGGAAAGCCAAACAACATAAAGAGAATTTACAGCTTGAGATATTTTCAGACACATATGAAGAAGTAAACTGCTAGTGAATGAAAACAATACTCTGTCAAGGGGAAATTCAATGCAGTTGAAGGGATTTCGATACAGGGAATTAGAGCTAATCTCCCCTTCCTTGGATCAAACCTTCATGCCTCCAATTCCCCACGATCTTCATGGAATTAACATGTCCTCATGAACACAATAATAATATTAATGATACAGGTAAAAATGTTCTTCAGCTATTAACTAGCACACTGCTGTCACTGTCACCAATGACAGAATATGAACATCGTCTATGGACTAAATAGCATCCCTATTAAAAGAGCAGAGGAGTATTAGATTTTTTATCCTGCAACTCAACCTAGGGCTGGATTGCAGGATGGTAGCTTGCAGAAGCAGGAAAACTCTGGAAATTCATTAGAAGTAAAGGCAAGGGCATTGCTGCATTTAATATACTAATCCAGTCACCTCCATTCACTAAAATTCAACTTCTTTAGTTATGTTTTGATCACCTATAGTCTGGTACAAAGGATTACAACTGTGATAAGCTCATGGAGGTACCCCTGTATTAAACTGGGTGGGGTAATTGCTCTAGCCATTTCCAATGTCCATAACTGTGGGAATCCCACAGTTCCCAGGACAGTACACCTCCTGGTTATCCGTAAATTTTCAGGAACTCTTGAAATGTCACTTTGCCCAGTATGGGCCAATAGGCCTGTTGCAATGATTCTTCTTTCTTATGGTCTAAGCTTTGGGGTGAGGATATCATCCATCCCTTCCTCCAATACTTAGTAAGAAATTCCATTTCCAAGGCAGTATTTTCTTATACTGTCTGACTGCCTCCTAGTTTTCATATTTTTATTTTTTTTTCAACAAGTTGGTCGTCTCCCACCGAGGCAGGGTGACCCAAAAAAGAAAGAAAACCCCCAAAAAGAAAATACTTTCATCATCATTCAACACTTTCACCACACTCACACATTATCACTGCTTTTGCAGAGGTGCTCAGAATACAACAGTTTAGAAGCATATACGTATAAAGATACACAACATATCCCTCCAAACTGCCAATATCCCAAACCCCTCCTTTAAAGTGCAGGCATTGTACTTCCCATTTCCAGGACTCAAGTCCGACTATATGAAAATAACCGGTTTTCCCTGAATCCCTTCACTAAATATTACCCTGCTCACACTCCAACAGATCGTCAGGTCCAAGTATCATTCGTCTCCATTCACTCCTATCTAACACGTTCATGCACGCTTGCTGGAAGTCCAAGCCCCTCGCCCACAAAACCTCCTTTACCCCCTCTTTCCAACCCTTTCGAGGACGACCCTACCCCTCTTTCCTTCCCCTATAGATTTATATGCTTTCCATGTCATTCTACTTTGATCCATTCTCTCTAAATGACCAAACCACCTCAACAACCCCTCTTCTGCCCTCTGACTAATGCTTTTATTAACTCCACACCTTCTCCTAATTTCCACACTCCGAATTTTCTGCATAATATTTACACCACACATTGCCCTTAGACAGGACATCTCCACTGCCTCCAACCGTCTCCTCGCTGCTGCATTACCACCCAAGCTTCACATCCATATAAGAGTGTTGGTACTACTATACTTTCATACATTCCCTTCTTTGCCTCCATAGATAACGTTTTTTGACTCCACATATACCTCAACGCACCACTCACCTTTTGTCCCTCATCAATTCTATGATTAACCTCATCCTTCATAAATCCATCCGCCGACACGTCAACTCCCAAGTATCTGAAAACATTCACTTCTTCCATACTCCTCCTCCCCAATTTGATATCCAATTTTTCTTTATCTAAATCATTTGATACCCTCATCACCTTACTCTTTTCTATGTTCACTTTCAACTTTCTACCTTTACACACATTCTCAAACTCATCCACTAACCTTTGCAATTTTTCTTTAGATCTCCCATAAGCACAGTATCATCAGCAAAAAGTAACTGTGTCAATTCCCATTTTGAATTTGATTCCCCATAATTTAATCCCACCCCTCTCCCAAACACCCTAGCATTTACTTCTTTTACAACCCCATCTATAAATATATTAAACAACCATGGTGACATTACACATCCCTGTCTAAGACCTACTTTTACCGGGAAGTATTCTCCCTCTCTTCTACACACCCTAACCTGAGCCTCACTATCCTCATAAAAGCTCTTTACAGCATTTAGTAACTTACCACCTATTTCATAAACTTGCAACATCTGTCACATTGCTCCTCTATCCACTCTATCATATGCCTTTTCTAAATCCATAAATGCAATAAAAACTTCCCTACCTTTACCTAAATACTGTTCACATATATGCTTCAATGTAAACACTTGATCTACACATCCCCTACCCACTCTGAAGCCTCCTTGCTCATCCGCAATTCTACATTCTGTCTTACCTCTAATTCTTTCAATTATAACCCTACCGTATACTTTTCCTGGTATACTCAGTAAACTTATTCATTTATAATTTTTACAATCTCTTTTGTCCCCTTTCCCTTTATATAAAGGGACTATACATGCTCTCCGCCAATCCCTAGGTACCTTCCCTCTTTCATACATTTATTAAAAAAAAGTACCAACCACTCCAACACTATATCCCCCCCTGCTTTTAACATTTCTGTCATGATCCCATCAGTTCCAGCTGCTTTACCCCCTTTCATTCTACGTAATGCCTCACGTACCTCCACCACACTTACATTCTGCTCTTCTTCACTCCTGAAAGATGGTATACCTCCCTGGCCAGTGCATGAAATTACCGCCTCCCTTTCTTCCTCAACATTTAAAAGTTCCTCAAAATATTCTCGCCAACTACCTAATACCTCCCTCTCCCCATCTACTAACTCCCCTACTCTGTTTTTAACGGACAAATCCATACTTTCCCTAGGCTTTCTTAACTTGTTTAACTCACTCCAAAATTTTTTCTTATTTTCATTAAAATTTCTTGACAGTGCCTCTCCCACTCTTTCATCTGCTCTCCTTTTGCACTCTCTCACCACTCTCTTCACCTTTCTTTTACTCTCCATATACTCTGCTCTTCTTATAACACTTCTGCTTTTGTAAAAACCTCTCGTAAGCTACCTTTTTCTCTTTTATCACACCCTTTACTTCTCATTCCACCAATCACTCCTCTTTCCTCCTGCCCCCACCCTCCTATAACCACAAACTTCTGCCCACATTCTAATACTGCATTTTTAAAACTATTCCAACCCTCTTCAAACCCCCCCACTACTCATCTTTGCACTAGCCCACCTTTCTGCCAATAGTCGCTTATATCTCGCCCGAACTTCCTCCTTCCTTAGTTTATACACTTTCACCTCCCTCTTACTTGTTGTTGCCACCTTCCTCTTTTCCCATCTACCTCTTACTCTAACTGTAGCTACAACTAAATAATGATCTGATATACAGTTGCCCCTCTATAAACATGTACATCCTGGAGCCTACCCATAACCTTTTATCCACCAATACATAAGTCTAACAAAATACCACCCGTGTACATCACTACTTGCAGATATGTGACAGAACCTCTTTTCAAATATGGTAATGCTTTTCCTTTTTCTTTCTACACAACGCTAAATAAAGGCTTGCACCCACTTACATTTACACCCTTCACAGCACCACAATATTTATACATACATCTATTTCTCCCTAAAATAGCTGTTTTTTTATACTTTAGCCCTTGGAAATAATCTACCTTCTCGTAACCTTGAGTTCAAAATCCACGCATACTAAAATCCCAGCACTGCGCCTATTTTTAAAACCCTTCTCCGTGCATACAGCTTACTAAATAAAAAAACTTTTAATAACTTTTGCTTAACATAATGCTGAATGTTTTGCATTTTAAGAAACAGATGTTGCTGATGTTATTTAAATTATGAGTTATTCTTTAGCCCTAACCGAAACAGCTGAAGTAACCATTTATGGAAAAATTGAATAAATCTCGACCCTCATCAGTGAGTTTACAAAGCCAGGGTACATAAGTTTAATATCAGTTATAAGAGCAATATAATATAATTTAAATATTTATTTATTAAGATAAAGCTTAATTCAAATGTGGCATAATAAGCGATTAGCACCTGGAGAAAAGAATGCAGGAGAAGATGAATTTGAGATTTAATAATAATCGGCCATTTACCAATGAAGGAATGGGTGGGGCTTGAAAAAGAGAGAAACTTTTAGATTTATCAATTTCGTCCATAACTGTACTTGGCCGAGGTGCACTTACAGTACAGTTATAAAACTGCAACATTAACACCCCTCTTTCAGAATGCAGACACTGTACTTTCCATCTCCAGGACTCGAGTCTGGCCTGCCGGTTTCCCTGAATCCCTTCAAAAATGTTACCTTGCTCATACTCCAACAGAACATCAAGTCCTAAAAACCGTTCGTCTCCATTCGCTCTTATCTAACACGCTCATGCATGCTTACTGGAAGTCAAAGCCCCTTGCACACAAAACCTCCTTAACCTCCCTCCCTCCAACCTTTCCTAGGATGACCTCTACCCCGCCTTCCCTCCACTACAGATTTATACACTCTCAAAGTCATCCTATTTTGTTCCATCCTCTCTACATGTCCAAACCACTTCAACAACCCCTCCTTAGCCCTCTGGATAATAGTTTTGGTAATCCTGCACCTCCTTCTAATTTCCAAATTACGAATTCTCTACATTATATCCACACCACACATTGTCCTCAGACATGACATCTCCACTGCCTCCAGTCTTTTCCTCACTGCAACATTCATCACCCATGCTTCACACCCATATAAAAGCACTGGTAAAACTATACCCATACATTCCCCTCTTTGCTTCCAAGGACAAAGTTCTTTGTCTCCACAGACTCCTAAGTGCACCACTCACCCTTTTCCCCTCATCAATTCTGATTCACCTCATCCTTCATAGACCCATCTGCTGACACATCCACTCCCAAATATCTGAATACATTCACCTCCTCAATACTCTCTCCCTCCAATCTGATATCCAATCTTTTGTCACCTAATCTCTGTTATCTTCATAACCTTACTCTTTCCTATATTCACTTTTAATTTTCTTCTTTTACACACCCTACCAAATTCATCCACCAACCTCTGCAACTTCTCTTCAGAATCTCCCAAGAGCACAGTGTCATCAGCAAAGAGCAACTGTGACAACTCCTACTTTGTGTGTGATTCTTTGTGTTTGATTCTATATCTTTTAACTCCACACCTCTTGCCATGACCCTTGCATTCACCTCTCTTACAACCCCATCTATAAATATATTGAGCAACCACGGTGACATCACACATCCTTGTCTAAGGCCCACTTTTACTGGGAAATAATCTTCCTCTTTCCTACATACTCTAACCTGAGCCTCACTATCCTTGTAAAAACTCTTCACTGCTTTCAGTAACCTACCTCCTATACCATACACCTGCAACATCTGCCACACTGCCCCCCTATCCACCCTGTCATATGCCTTTTCCAAATCCATAAATGCCACAAGAACCTCTTTACCCTAATCTAAATACTGTTCACCTATGTTTCACTGTAAATGCTTGGTCTACACACCCCCTACCTTTCCTAAAGTCTCCTTGTTCATCTGCTATCCTACTCTCCGTCTTACTCTTAATTCTTTCAATAATATCTTTACCATACACTTTACCAGGTATACTCAACAGACTTATTTCCCTATAACTTTTGCACTCTCTTTAGTACCTTTTGCCTTTATATAAAGGAACTATGCATGCTCTCTACCAATCCCTAGGTACCTTACCCTCTTCCAAACATTTAAATAAAAGCACCAACCACTCCAAAACTAAATCCCCACCTGCTTTTAATATTTCTATCTTTATCTTATCAATCCCAGCTGCCTTACCCCCTTTCATTCTAGCCCACTACCTCACGAACTTCCCCCACACTCACAACTTTCTCTTCCTACTCCTACATGATGTTATTCCTCCTTGCCCTATACATGAAATCATAGCTTCCCTATCTTCATCAACATTTAACTATTCCTCAAAATATTCCCTCCATCTTCCCGATACCTCTAACTCTCCATTTAGTAACTCTCCTCTCCTATTTTTAACTATCAAATCCATTCATTCCCAAGGCTTCCTCAACTTATTAATCTCACTCCAAAACTTTTTCTTATTTTTAACAAAATTCGTTGATAACACCTCACCCGCTCTCTTATTTGCTCTCTTTTTACATTGCTTCACCACTCTTTTAACCTCTCTTTTTCTCTCTCCATATACTCCTCCTTCCTTGCATCACCTTTACTTTGTAAAAACCTCTCATATGCTAACTTTTCTCCTTTACTGCTTTCTTTACACCATCATTCCACCAATCACTCTTCCTCCCTCCTGCACCCAGTTTCCTGTAACCACAAACTTCTGCTGAACACTCTAACACTACAATCTTAAACTTACCCCATATATCTTTGACCCCATTGCCTATACTCTCACTAGTCCATCTATCCTCCAATAGTTGCTTATATCTTACCCTAACTGCCTCCTCCTCTAGTTTATAAACCTTCACCTCTCTCTTGCTTGCTGCTTCTATTTTCCTTGTATCCCATCTACCTTTTACTCTCACTGTAGCTACAACTAAAAAGTGATCTGATATATCTGTGGCCCCTCTATAAACATGTACATCCTGAAGTCTACTCAACAGTCTTTTATCTACCAATATGTAGTCCAACAAACTACTGCCATTACACCCAGTATCATATCTTGTATACTTATTTATCCTCTTTTTCTTAAAATATGTATTACCTATAACCAAACCCCTTTCTATACAAAGTTCAATCAAAGGGCTCCCATTATCATTGACACCTAGCACCCCAAACTTACCTACTACACCCTCTCCAAATGTTTCTCCTACTTTAGCATTTAGGTCCCGCACTACAATTACTCTCACTTGGTTCAAAAGTTCCTACACACTCACTTAACATTTCCCAAAATCTCTCTCTCTCTCTCCTCTACACTCCTCTCTTCTCCAGGTGCATACACACTTATTATGACCCACTTTTTGCATCCAACCCTTATTTTCACCCACACAATCCTTAAATTTATACAATTATATTCCCTCTTCTTCTTCCATAATCGATCCTTCAACATTATTGTTACCCCTTCCTTAGTTCTAACTCAGGTACTCCTGACTTAAGCCCATTTATTTGTCCCCACTGAAACTTGCCTACCCCCTTCAGCTTTGTTTCACTTAGAGCCAGGACATCCAACTTCTTTTTATTCATAACATTTGCAATCATCTCTTTCTTGTCATCCGCACTACATCCACGCACATTCAAGCATCCCAGTTTTATGAAGTTTTTCTTCTTATCTTTTTTAGTATTTTCTACAAGAGAAGGGGTTACTAGTCCATTACTCCCGGCAATTTAATCGCCTCATATGACACGCATGGCTTACGGAGGAAAAATTCTTTTCCACTTCCCCAGGGAGAAGAGGAAATAAAGAAGAATAAGAACTATTAAGAAAAAGAAGAAAAACCTAGATGTGTGTATGTATATATATGCATGTGCATGCCTGTGTAGTGTGACCTAAGTGTCAGTAGATGTAGGAAGATATACTAGTTATGTAGCATGTTTATGAGACAGAAAAAAACACCAGCAATCCTACCATCATGTAAAACAATTATAGGTTTCTGTTTCACACTCACTTAGCAGGATGGTAGTACCTCTTTGGGTGGTTGCTGTCTACCAACCTACTACCTGTATATTATTATTCAATAAGAGTACCAACCTCAATGTTAATATCCATTTTATTTGAATCACAAGTAATGTGAAGTATCACCGGTGTGCCAGTAAATGATGCACCATGAGGAGGGAGAGACCGTGGACCAGGGTGCTGCTCCTCGATGCAGCTAACATAACGCTCTGCCAACACTAAGACTCGACGAATGTGCTGGATGCAACTATTTCTGGTGGTGAGGAAAAAAGAAGTTTAAGACAATTTTACATTATCAACAGTAAATGAGATACTGACAGGCTCAGTTGTAACATCATGAATGGAATGTGTAATGGAAGATGTGATACTGATATAAATTAAAAAAAAAAAAAAAAAGCTGTATCCCTGCTTCAGTGGGGTACAGCTGGTTCAATGAAAGAAGATTTAAGATGAAGTGTTAAACCTTCAAGGGTCATTTAGTGCTTGGGGAAATGGAAGGTAATAAGCACAAAAAATTAAATGAACAGTACTTCAGTTACCTAATATTCTGAAGAATCCCACATTCCAAAACTCCAGTCCCCTGTGCCGAATGCACACAATTAGAATAGTGCGGTACAGTGTAAGCTGATAATGCAATTAAATACCAACACTGAAGATCTTAAGAGAAGCAAGAGAGGCATTGACAGGTCATCAAATCGAAACTAACATCCAAATTTCTTCAATAAAAACGGTCAAATAGCAGTTTTACGTGCTGGCCACTGAAAGGGTTAATGACTAAACAGTGAAGAACATTAAGATACTGAAGATACCGAAAAAAGAACAGTTGCACAACTTAGGACAAGTTGCCAATATTGGACATAAAAACTGATAGCAATGCCAACACTGCAAGCACAGGGGACCACTTTTAAAAGATATCAGAATATTATGAAACAGGACAAATCAGGAAGTGGACCATAAATCAAACAAATCAACAGTGTATGCTAGCTCATGACAAAGAAGCTGAGATTCAGCATATATCCAGTGCAACAGCAAAGCCACACTTCAAAAGGAAGAAGTAATAAGTTCCAGAAAGGCAACATGTGCTTGAACAACTTTAATGTCCCTGGGAAGAATCTGGGCATAAATACCAAGAACATAGCTATGTAGTACATTATCAAGACCCTGTAATGTTCATCAACTGCATGGTGCATGCATAATCAGTGAGGTGCTGCAAAGCCTCACAGAATTATGTGCTCCAGGATAGATCAGAGATAAGGGCAAACCATCAATGCAGCTGGCCTCTGGACAGCACAGCTGAGGAGCATCAATGTAGAGTGATTAAAAAAAATAAAGTTAAAATTTTTTTTTTTTTTGAATATTTAGTTACTGCATAGCACACTATTCTCTAGCCTACAGTGTCTTGTTTTACTGCTCTGCATAACTATGAACTTTTAAATAACAAAAAAGGCACAATACCGTGACTGGAACGATACACAAATAACCCGCACATAAAATAGAGAAGCTTACGACGACGTTTCAGTTCGACTTGGACCATTGACAAAGTCACACTAACCGGAAGTGGAGCAGGACGGCTATATATAGGCAGGAAGAGGTGGTGGTGGTAGTAGTAGTAGTAGTAGTAGTAGTACAAGAATGGTATATATTACCGACACTAACAATGCTCTTTTCTGTCACGTCAGAGATCATAGCCATCCTATTGACTGGTCTTCTGCTAAAACTGTCTTCCCTACTTCCAACTCGAACAGTCGGCATCTAGTTGAATCCTCTCTAATACACAACTTTCCTTGTATGAACCTTAGCCCTGGCTTCGTCTCTGTAGATGCTTTCCTCTCCCACTACATTGTAAAATGCTCCAAACTTCAGAACACCCGTGACTTAACCTGACTCCTCATTTTTTCTTTTTCTTCTCCCTCTTCCCCTTTCCTCTTTCCTTTTCTCCTCTGGGTTGTCTTTCTCTCTTCTGTATCGTGTTTCTGTTCCTTCTTCATTTATTTCACCACTTCCCCTTTCACGCACCTCTGTGCGCTTGCTCTCCCTCAGTGGGCACCTAGCTCTCTTGCAGTGCTCCCCTTCCTTTGTATTTGACTGGCTCGTCCTCCTTATTTCCCACTTCTACCACTACCACTACTACTACTTCTACTACTACTACTACAACTACTGATGAAATTAAGACACATGTGCGGCATCTGGTTGTCTTTGTTGTGGACGTTTCGTCATCCAGTGGCTGGCTGGATGGTGAAACGTCTACGATAGGGATGCCCGGGTGTTGCGCATGTGTCTTAATTTCAACTTGTCGGTATTATATGCCATTCTTGTACTATTACTACTACTACTACCACCACCTCTTCCTGCCTATATATAGCCGTCCCGCTCCACTTCCGGTTAGTGTGACTTTGTCAATGGTCCAAGTCGGACCGAAACGTCGTCGTAAGCTTCTCTCTTTTATGTGCGGGTTATTTGTGTATGAACTTTTAACATGCACTAAAGTGTCACCCATCTCTGTATAAACAATATATCATGTTGAAATAAGCTGTATTTGTATTCTTCCTACTTACTATGAATTATCATCATGGAATACTAGTCTTCATACTTAAAACACTTTACTCGTGATTTTTATAATTATATTTCACCAGGAATATACCTTGGTCTTCATAATTTTACCTGCCTCTTCCTACACAGTACTGTAATATTGCAAAGCTTTTAATTTCTATCATTTTCACTTAAATAATCTACACTCAGCTCAAATACTCATATGTGTTAAAAAATTCAATCAAACTTCTTGCACATTCCACTAGATTTGTTTTTAATCGTTATACATACTAAAAGGGGACTCCTAAAATTTATACTTTAGTCTTCAATTTTCCTTCATAAAGTAAATCCTAAATGTTTTTTATTTATGTTAAGTAAAAGGGCAAAAGTGCAACTAATGTGACATTTTATTGTGGCAATATTTAGCTCTCCAGGAGCTTTATCAAGCAAAACGTTGCCACAATAAAATGTCACATTAGTTGCACTTGTGTCCTTTTACTTAACATATTGTCGGTAATTCTACCAACATTAATACAGTTTTTATTTAGTTTATAAACCACCTTAAATAAATCTCTAACTACTGTTCTACAACTGTGCTCTTTTATGCAAAAAAGCACTTACAGAACTCCTCTTTTTCCTCCCTCATCATTCTTGAACTAATTCAATAGGAAACTATATTTTTCACACAAATAGAGAAAATCCTACCATACACTTCATAATCCTTAAAAATATTACTCCTAATTCTTGCTTTTCTACATGTTTTCCTAATCACAGCACTGTACTGACTTACTCCCATTATGTCACAGGCCTAGAGTAAGGCATATTTATAACCGATTCAATAGCTACATTGAAGATAATTATTTAGAAGATTAGAGGAAAATCTGCTAGTTTAGGGAGGAAGAAAGATTACCTTGATGTGGAAGGAAGTCCTCCTAGGTCTGATACTGCCATAGCTGTCAATGTTTTAGTGGCTGTAGAGACGGCAGCACCAACCGCAGTTTCATTTACATGCAACATGGATTTCTACAAAAATAATAATTGAAACAGTATGTAAGATTCTTGTAACTACCAGTAACTCATAATAGCAAAGGCTGCTCACAATTTAAACGTAAAATTCTAAAGCTGATTTTACAAAGAACAGAACTGTATTACATAAAGTATCAATAAAAGACAAGAGCCTGCATACATTAGCTACACCTATTCATTCTGTTGTCTACTAACCTCCAATTTTCTGTAGCACTCGGAGATAAATTTTGCGTGAAGCTGTGGAGGGTCTCGTTTGAGGCGAGCAGAGAGAGACATGTATGACATGTCTAACAAGAGCTTCATGGCATCTTCTGCAAGCTGCTCCTCTTGACATTCGAGTACAAGCTGCCAAATGAACTCCATCCCAAGTGGATCAAGTTTATCTACAGTCTGAAATTTATCAGAGTATCATTGAAATACAGTGTTAATACTAATAAAATTTATATGATATACTAAACTCATGTGGGCCATTCAAAGCATGGCATGGTGGGGGTATGATCCACCATTCATTAAATGTCTCATGAAATCATAATAACACAATTGTAAACAAACCATGGAACAGTGGTGTGAACCCTTGGCGAGTGAATTGTAAAACTGGAGTTTTACGACTCATTCGCCATGGGTTCAGATCACCCGTCTGTATAACCCTTGTGGCTTAGCGCTTCCTTTTTGATTATAATAATAATCAGATCACCCGTTCTATGTTTATTTTTTCATTAAATGTCGTTCACAACTTGTTCTAGATTTTAACTGTATGGGCATAACAACTCTCGAAACCAATCACAGATAAACTAAAAACAGGTAATTACAGTCAATACGTTGATCTCAAGGACATTCTGTTTTGGTCAAAAACTTAGCCATATGGTATTCTGGTGTATAAATACTACATTATTTTCATTCTTAAGACACTGAAGAAAACATGGTTTTCTTTTTTAATCCCATGATGTTGAAGTACAGTTACAACTCTCATTAATGGACCTCTCTCTGACCAAACAAATGTTGGAATTATCGGATAAAATAGAAAAGATCCCTAATTCCATAATTCGTCAGGAGATCTTCTGAAGTATCAGAGTCCAATGCCTTTATTCGTCTGGTACAGGCCAGAGAAGCCATATCCAGGACCTGCCTGTTTTCACTGCTCCTAGTTTACTGTTTGTGCTCACTCTCACATACACTCGTTATTCAGTCTCCAATTTTCCTGGGATTTTGAGCGTTTTGTGGGACTTTTTTAATATTAATTGAAAGGTAATTAACTACATGGGGAAGTGGAGAAGAATCCTTCCTCTGTAAGCCATGCATGTCATAAGAGGTGACAAAAAGGCTGGGGGCAAGGAGCGAGTAACCCCCTTCTCCTGAATAAATTACTAATAGTAAAAAGAAAAAACTTTAGTTTCTTCCTTTTCAGGTCACTCTGCCTCATTGGGAAATGACTAGCGTGTTAAAAATGAAAAGTGGAATTAACAATGGCTTCTAAAGCAAGTTTTTTTTTTTTTTTTCAAGTCGGCCGTCTCCCACCGAGGCAGGGTGACCCAAACAAGAAAGAAAATCCCCAAAAAGAAAATACAGTGGACCCCCGCATAACGATCACCTCCGAATGCGACCAATTATGTAAGTGTATTTATGTAAGTGCATTTGTATGGACTAATCTACTTCACAATATTCCTTATGGGAACAAATTCGGTCAGTACTGGCACCTGAACATACTTCTGGAGTGAAAAAATATCGTTAACCGGGGGTCCACTGTACTTTCATCATCATTCAACACTTTCACCACACTTGCACATTATCACTGTTTTTGCAGAGGTGCTCAGAATACAACAGTTTAGAAGCATACACATATAAAGATACACAACATATCCCTCCAAACTGCCAATATCCCAAAACGCCTCCTTTAAAGTGCAGGCATTGTACTTCCCCTCTCCCCGACTCAAGTCCGACTATATGAAAATAACCGGTTTCCCTGAATCCCTTCACTAAATATTACCCTGCTCACACTCCAACAGATCGTCAGGTCCCAAGTACCATTCGTCTCCATTCACTCCTATCTAACACGCTCATGCACGCTTGCTGGAAGTCCAAGCCCCTTGCCCACAAAACCTCCTTTACCCCCTCTCTCCAACCCTTTCGAGGATGACCCCTACCCCGCCTTCCTTCCCCAATAGATTTATATGCTTTCCATGTCATTCTACTTTGATCCATTCTCTCTAAATGACCAAACCACCTCAACAACCCTCTCTTCTGCCCTCTGACTAATACTTTTATTAACTCCACACCTTTTCCTAATTTCCACACTCCGAATTTTCTGCATAATATTTACACCACACATTGCCCTTAAACAGGACATCTCCACTGCCTCCAACCGTCTCCTTGCTGCTGCATTTACCACCCAAGCTTCACACCCATTTGAGTGTTGGTACTACTATACTTTCATACATTCCCTTCTTTGCCTCCATAGATAACGTTTTTTGACTCCACATATACCTCAATGCACCACTCACCTTTTTTCCCTCATCAATTCTATGATTAACCTCATCCTTCATAAATCCATCCACCGACACGTCAACTCCCAAGTATCTGAAAACATTCACTTCTTCCATACTCCTCCTCCCCAATTTGATATCCAATTTTTCTTTATCTAAATCATTTGACACCCTCATCACCTTACTCTTTTCTATGTTCACTTTCAACTTTCTACAAGTAGAATTATTAAAAGGAAATGTGTGGTTCTCGGTGTTAAGCAGAAACTTGAACTAATAAATAAGGTCGAGTGTGGCATCTCAGTGGCATATCCTCTCAACTATCTTCATTATTTTCACTAGCAGAGCTTTGCAGTTCCTCTAACTCAGAATAAAATGTATTCCGAGTCACCACTATTAATCATGGCAGTTTACACCTCATCTCTCCACCAGGAAAAGGAAATTAATATTATTGTAAATCATACAGTATTATACTGTAGTATTACAGGTTACAATACCTGCATTCCTGGTGTCTGGTTGTTTTCTAAATGAGAAGACTAAGTTTGCTTGTTCAGAAGACACCTGGATGATCATGAAAAACTAATTAAATAATTCAAAAATTTTAGCCAATTGGTAATACTGTACCCTCTCTCCCTCTATTAGTCCATCAGTCAGAAGGTTCATTGTAATTAATAATGCAGCATACTGGTATTTACAGTACTTTCTACCAGTCTAACAATTATAGCAAATAAAGAAGAAAATGTCAACACTTACAATCATATTTCCACTCCGAATAAGCTTGTGGTCATTGAGGTTCACTGCATGAAAATAATCCACAAAGCAGGCAAATGCAGGGCGAGTCATGGTGACAGGGTCTAGACGGAGAAGCTTCTCACAAAACAGATCACGCTGAGTACTGCTTTCTAAATCACCAAGGCATCCACTGAACCAGTTAAAGCAAGTCTGGAACAAAAATCTCCTTTTAACAAACTGGCCATATCCCACTAAGGCAGGTGGCCCAAAAGGAAAAACAAAAGTTTCTCCTTTTAAAAATAGTGCTATATACAGGAGAAGGGGTTACTAGCCCCTTGCTCCTGGCATTTTAGTGGCTGGAACAAAAATGTATATTTTAATCTAAATATAAAGAAAATTACATTAACTTTCTTGATCTCATATTTTTTTATATAAAAGCAAGAATGATTAAATTAGGAAACTGACCTCCTTATCATAACCGGAGGCTTTGGGGTTAGCCACTAATGTGTCCCAAATGTCCTTACACCGTGGCCAGGCTAGATAAATATCACCTTCTTTAAGTAAAAATTGAAGAAACTCAAGGTGGACCCTTAAATACTGAAATGTAAAAAAAAAATTATTGGTAATTATGCTTACTAAAATTACATAGCCACACAACAGTTAAACCTATTTTTCTTTATAAACTTAATGATATTAATAAATGTCTTATATCTCAATTCAAAAAAAATTTTGAAATGAAAGAAAAACTTCTGAACTTTCTTCTATAATGATAGTATAGATTTTATACTCACAAATCTTCCTACCTTTGACAAATTTTTGTCAAAAGAAATAATTTTATCAATGGTCAAATACTTGCCTCATTTTCCTTCCTTTAATGCCCATCATTTAGTAACCTTAGTCTATATGGTAATTGTTAAAAATGAAAGGAAAAAATACAAGAATTTAATTAGATTCTATAATGATCTACATAAACAAAGATTATGTTTGGGGGCAGAAAGGAGGACAAATTCATGTCATAAATAAACACTGCAACAAGTGTTCAATAATAACTCACATGGAGACAGAAACTCAGGAGATTGCTCTGTATATTTTGACCCCCTTTTGGGATTCTCTTCAGTAGATGAAGAGGACCTCTCCTGCTGAAGAAGATCCTGGAAGAGGACCTCTCGCTGAAGATTCCAAAAGGGGACCTCTCCTGCTGAAAGGATCTCAAAAGGGGACCTCTCCTGCTGAAGAGGATCCCAGAAGGGGGTCAAAATATACAGATCAATCAGTCTCCCGAGTTTCTGTCTCCATGTGGGTTATTACTGAACAATAACAAGTGTTCATTACACTTTTAATTATTTACTGCAACATGTGAAGAAGTAATGAAGCTCCTGAAGGGAATCTATAGATCAAAAGCTATTTTTTTTTTTTACTTACATGGTCATGAGTATATTTGCCATCAATTAGAGTAGACGGTGAAGGTTGTTGGTTCCCAGCTGTGGACACTGCCAGAGCATGGCATTTACCAAGACTCAGCGTTATAAGTTTGACAATCTCATGACTGCGATTGAGTTCAGACAGAGTTGCCTGAAACATTTAAAAACAAATAGGCACATTGTGTTGTAAGTGTATGCAATGAATTACTAATGAAGCAGACAGATCTTTAGTCCATACATCTTTATTATTATTTTATTATAATTATTATTAAATTTTTTTTTACCTCAGTGGCTGTCTTCCAACAAGGACTATTATTACAGTATTTTCTTTTAACACACTGGCCGTCTCCCACTGAGGCAGACTTATCTACTCACTTTATCACTCTCTTGCCAGAGTCAAACCAATACTACAGTTCAGTTGCACCTCCATACTGCAAATATCTCAACCTCTCTTTCAGAATGCGACACTGTACTTCCCACCTCCAGGACTCAAGTTCGGCTAACCAGTTTTCCTGAATCACCTCACAAATGTTACCTAGCTTACACTCCAACAGCTCATCAAGTCCTAAAAATCATATGCCTCCACTCATTCCTAACATGCTTGCTGGATGTTCAAGCCCCTCACACAAAACCTCCTTTACACCCTCCTTCCAAGCTATCCAAGGGTGACCCTACTCTGCCTTCCCAACCACTACAGATTTATACACCCTGCAAGTCATCCCATTTTGCTCCATCCTTTTTAAATGTCCAAACCACCTTAATAATACCTCCTCAGTCCTCTGGATAATACTTTTAGCAACCTTGTACCTCTCCCTCATCTCCAAACTCAGAATTCTTTGCATAATATTTATGTCACACACTGCCCTCAAACATACCATCCCAATGCCTCCAGCCTCCTCCTTGCTGCAGCATTCACAACCCATGTTTTACGCCCATATTATATTTGTGAACAAGTGCCAACAAACCTGAGTTGGTCATACACACCAAGTGTGTTTATACTGTATCTTTGTAGAGTCCTTTTAACCTTAATCATTTCCACATTCCCATAGTGAATTAAAACTTTCTTACACACCTTTTCAGTTTTGAAGTATGATGCTCCTCCCTTTGTGATTGATTGTGCCAAATAATGTAACTGCTTAAGAGGCAGGTAAACAGCTGGGCTTCTTTTAATGTCCTCTACACATCGCACTATGTAAACCTTACGCAGCTGTAAGAAATTAAATATTTTTCATGCTAATATTCGTTACACTGCTCTGCAAAAAGACAATCGATGCTTATTTACTATATATTTCACTCAAATATATTCTGATTATGTTTTTTTTTTTAACAAGTCGGCCGTCTCCCACCGAGGCAGGGTGACCCCAAAAAAGAAAGAAAAATCCCCAAAAAGAAAATACTTTCATCATCATTCAACACTTTCACCTCACTCACACATAATCACTGTTTTTGCAGAGGTGCTCAGAACACAACAGCTTAGAAACATATACCTATAAAGATACACAACATATCCTTCCAAACTGCCAATATCCCAAACCCCTCCTTTAGAGTGCAGGCACTGTACTTCCCATTTCCAGGACTCAAGTCCGGCTATATAAAAATAACCGGTTTCCCTGAATCCCTTCACTAAATATTACCCTGCTCACACTCCAACAGATCGTCAGGTCCCAAATACCATTCGTCTCCATTCACTATCTAACACGCTCACGCATGCTTGCTGGAAGTCCAGGCCCCTGGCCCACAAAACCTCCTTTACCCCCTCCCTCCAACTTTTTCGAGGACGGCCCCTACCCTGCCTTCCTTTCCCTACAGATTTATACGTTCTCCATGTCATCCATGTACATCCTAATAAAAAACTATCTTGAAACACCCAATTTACATAGGAACTTTCAATGTGTGTACACACCAAGTAACAGTTGTAAGTCAAGAGAGATGAATTCTCAAGTTGTAATCCTCTAACAATAAGCTAGATATACTGAACTTTGATTGTTATATGACTAAACAGATAATATTTAGTCCCTAATACAATATAGGAGTAAAGGGATTTAGAGAAGGGTTAAGAAAAAGAGGGAAAGGGTATAGAAGTAAAGGTGTAGTCAAGATTTGGAGGGTGTGCAAGTGAGAGGAAAGTTGTAGAAAGAGTGCAAGTGAGAATAAGTATAGGAGTTGGAGGTTGTGAACATGACAAGAGGGATGTAAACTGGAGGAGTATGGGAGTGAACTGGATCAAGTATACTGTACAACAGTTGAGTTGGAGGGAAATGGGAGTTTGATTAAACAGTATACTGTCAATAAGTATGAAGCCAAAGACAAGTTGCAGAACAAGCTTTTTGAGAAAACTTACTTAAGACTTGATAAAGCTCTACAAAGAGAAAAATGGTGTCCCAGCAAAAACTTCTCTGCAACTTGTCTTTGTTTTCGTAGTGGAAGTTACTATTAGTTATAGATGACTATTTTGAGATTATATAAATCTTTGTGTCGAAGGAGTGGTGTTTCCAAATATTCTTTGGTCATGTTTTGATGACATCCTAAAAACATTAAGACTCACAAAATTGTAATACGTACCACGATTGCAAACAAACCATGGTACAGGTGGGGGTTAGAACCCATCGCAAGCGAGTCACAAAACTCCAGGGCAGTGCAAAAGCCACTGGACCCACTGGCTACAATAAGATTCATCCAACTAGGTTGAATGGAATTTTACGACTCACTTACCACGGGTTCTAACCCCACCCGTACCGTGGTTTAAAAACATTAAGTTAAAAAGGTCTGGAATTATCACTACAACTGGAATAAAAATACCTTCTGAAACTTACTCAACAGCACATGCTATGAAATTGTCACTAAATATTGATAACTTTGCTAGCTTCTGTACTTTTTCAATAGGTGTCCATTAAAAACAACAACTTAGGGATAAAGATGAATAAAAATTGCATTAAATGTGATTACAATATTTATTACTATCATTACCTGGTCTCTAGTAGCAGATTCATTGAGAATGTTAAGATGTTCATTCATTGCTTGATGCACCAGTTTTGGTGGTAAGGCTGGAACACGGGCTAGTTCCCAAAGGGAATCAAGCATCTTATCTGCAGTTCGACCTAAGCGTGAATCCTGGCCAATCTTCCCAATGAAAGTGAGAAGCTTTTCACGCAAGCGATCATTTCCATTATCCCAGCTCTGGAGAGAGTTTATTTAGTTAGGCCTTAAACACAATTAATGCACATCAATGACAATGAGGTTCAAAACTTTTTTGCATGTATGTAATTTCAACTTGAGATTTTCAATTGACCTGACAAAGAAAACACTCATTCAATCACTGTCTTGCCAGAGGGGCACAGACATCACAGTTCAGATGACCCTCCAAACTGTAACATCCCTCTCAGTTGGTGCTCTAATGAATATTTATATTGTTTAGCAATGTAATCTGAGTGTCTTGCATTTCAAGCTTGAACTACTGTATGTACTTAAAAAAAAGTGCATCCATATATTTATCTAACATTTATAATGTAAAGGCAGATGGAATGTGCAAATATGATAATGGTTCATCTACCTAAAAGTTACAATACCTTTCTGACGAGGGTTAATAGGTGTTGAAACTGGTGAGGATTGAAGCGTGAAGCAGCAGCTGCCATAATACGGTGAATGTTGTCAACTACATGAGCACTGGCTTTCTCTGCCATGTGCCAGATGCGGGTTAACTCCTCTTCCTGTAACTTTGGTCCCATAAACTCTACAAGTTCCTTCATACGATCTGTATACTGCACTTGATCGATGTTACCTTTAAAGAAAAAAAATTCCTTCTTCATTTGGCATATCGTACCTTTAAAAAATAAAGAACTTGCCATTCTTAACTTTAAGCATAATATACATTTTTTTTTCAATAAGTCAGCCGTCTCCCACCGAGGCAGGGTGACCCAAAAAGAAAGAAAATCCCCAAAAAGAAAATACTTTCATCATCATTCAACACTTTCACCTCACTCACACACAATCATTGTTTTTGCAGAGGTGCTCAGATACAACAGTTTAGAAGTCCCTCCAAACTGTCAATATCCCAGACCCCTCCTTTAAAGTGCAGGCATTGTACTTCCCATTTCCAGGACTCAAGTCCGGCTAAATCTATAATAACCGGTTTCCCTGAATCCCTTCACTAAATATTACCCTGCTCACACTCCAACAGCTTGTCAAGTCCCCAAAACCATTCGTCTCCAATTACTCCTATCTAACACGCTCGCACACACTTGCTGGAAATCCAAGCCCATCGCCGCAAAACCTCCTTTACCCCCTCCCTCCAACCTTTTCGAGGACGACCCCTACCCCTCCTTCCTTCCCCTACAGATTTATATGCTCTCCAAGTCATTCTACTTTGATTCATTCTCTCTAAATGACCAAACCACCTCAACAACCCCTCTTCAGCCCTCTGACTAATACTTTTAGTAACCCCACACCTCCTAATTTCCACATACATATTTTCTTCAAAACAAGCTTACCTTCTAATGCAAGAGATAACACACGCTTGCTTGTCATCCATTCTTGTATGATATCTGCATCAATGACATTGTCATGGCCCTTTTCACTATCTTCAATAAGTCTGGCAAGTTCCTGTGTAAACAATACCATAAAATTTATCACATGGGGTTTCTTTTATATTGCAGTACTAGGATCTATTGAACAATAAATCTTTTATAATACCATAAACCTCCATAGAAAAGATTTCCTACTTAAATGCTAACATGTTCCTATACAAATATCTGAATGTAAACACCCAATATGGAGAAAGTTTTCATCTTGTCAGTGATTAGTTTATCCTTATACAGTAGCTATACACATGAGGAGGTAAAGAATGGCTGCAAAAGTAGGTTGTTTTATTTTGATCTTGAGAGAGATATTGAAGTGGTTTTGGCATTTTGAGAGGGTCTGCAAATCAGGGGTGGAAGGAAGGAGGGGTATGGGTCATCCCAGGAAGGGTAGGAGGGACGAGGTGAAGGTTTTGAGTGATCAAGGCATGAGCATCCAGCAGGCTAGTGTGAGTATGTTAGACTGGAGCAAGTGGAGACAAGTGCACTTCTCATGGCTTGATTTGCTGTTGAAGTGTGAGCAAGGTAACATTTATGAAGGGATTCAGGGAAATCAGTTAGCCAGCCTCATGTATTGGAGGTGGGAAGTACAGTGCCCGCACTTTAAAGGACAGGTGGGGATATAACAGGTCGAAGATTCATTTGAACTGGGACATTTTTGCACAATTCTGGCAAAGCAGCTACTAAATGAATGAGAGAGATTGTGTTACCTTGTTTTTTGGGTAACCTCACCTCAGTGAAGAGACTTTTTTTTTTTATATGCATATAGAATACCTACACTTATTAATGACTGATTTTGCTGAAAATTTCCTAGGTATATCAGAACTAATGACTGTGAGAAATACTGTTTAAAATTTTACATTTTGTGGAAAAATAATTGACCTATAAAACTGTTCTTGAGTATTAACCCTTTCAGGGTCTGTGCCATAGATCTACAGCTTTATGTTCAGGGTCCAAACCGTAGATCTATGCCATGAGCTCAGCTCACTCTGATAAGCTGTGAGTGATAAATTTGGGCCTAGATATGAGAGAATACATCTATGTGGTATGTGTGCACCACATGAAACAAATCATGCAGCACACAGTGTATAATGAGAGAAAAAACTGAGACCGTGATTTTCAATTAAAACAGCGACTTTGCAGTGTTTTTTTGTATGTTTTTTTATAGTTGTATTTGCGATTTCTTGGTCTCATTTGATAGAATGGAAGACATATTACAGAAATAGAGATGATTTTGATTGGTGTTAGCACTGGAAATGGCTTGAAACTGAGCTCAAAGTAGGGGAAATGTTAAATTTTTGCCAATGTTCAAGAGTAAACAAACGACCTCACACGTCTAATACACGCCAGCTGGTGGGTCTAATATACATTCACAAATGTGGTGAAGATATTTATACAATTATTACAATATTGCATAACAGTAAATCTTCTATTTTTTTTTTAATAAAAATTCATTATGTGAATAAAAAATCAAAATGGAATTCATTTGTAAAGCCTCAAAACGTAACTAATGAACAGAGGAAATGTTAGTTTAGTGCCAGGAATACCTACATTGTTTATTCTGGACCCTATTTTGAAATTGGAATATTTTGAACTTTGTGTTAAATTGGCCAAATTACCAATTTCCAATCACTTTATTTTGTAGTTGAAACAGTTGACTTGGCAATTTCTTGTGCTCAATCGACAGAATAGAAGTAATACTAGTGAAATAGCTAAGAATTTGGTCGACTGGAATAATGTAATTGGCGTAAAATGGGAGTCAAAGTCGGCAAAATCACCGTTTCGTAAATATCGCTGACACATCAAAATTCGCGAGCATAATTTCATCAATTTTCCATCAAATTTTGTACTTTTTGTTTTATTACCTTCAGAAAAAGATTCTGTACCATACACAAATAACCCGCACATAAAAGAGAGAAGCTTACGACGACGTTTCAGTCCGACTTGAACCATTGACAAAGTCACACAGCAGAAATTTCCACTCTTCATAATTCGTTTTCCCGTCTTGGCTACCCTTCCCATTTCATAGACTCTGCCCTCTCACGTGCTAAATGCAATTTCTTCTCTCCCAAACTCTCTACTCCTGGGAACTCTTCTATCCTCTGCCTTCCCTACATTTCCGGTCTTTCTAATCTCAACAATTCTCTCCGTCCCTTAGAAATCAAGCTTACCTTCCGCCAGACTAACACTCTTCGCACTAATCTCGTTCATACCTCTCCTCCCTCTACAGATGTTCCTGGTGTCTACTCTATTTCTTGCTCCTCCTGTCCTCTTCAATACTTCGGAGAAACTGGTCCTTCTATTTCTGACAGACTTAGGGAGCACAAAAATAGTGTTAGGCTTGCCGACACTAACAATGCTCTTTTCTGTCACGTCAGAGATCATAGCCATCCTATTGACTGGTCTTCTGCTAAAACTGTCTTCCCTACTTCCAACTCGAACAGTCAGCGTCTAGTTGAATCCTCTCTAATACACAACTTTCCTTGTATGAACCTTAGCCCTGGCTTCGTCTCTGTAGATGCCTTCCTCTCCCACTACATTGTAAAATGCTCCAAACTTCAGAACACCCGTGACTTAACCTGACTCCTCATTTTTTTTTTCTTTTTCTTCTTCTCCCTCTTCCCCTTTCCTCTTTCCTTTTCTCCTCTGGGTTGTCTTTCTCTCTTCTGTCTCGTGTTTCTGTTCCTTCTTCATTTATTTCACCACTTCCCCTTTCACGCACCTCTGTGCGCTTGCTCTCCCTCAGTGGGCACCTAGCTCTCTTGCAGTGCTCCCCTTCCTTTGTATTTGACTGGCTCATCCTCCTTATTTCCCACTTCTACCACTACTACTACCTCTTCTACTACTACTACAACTACTGATGAAATTAAGACACATGTGCAGCGTCTGGTTGTCTTTGTTGTGGATGTTTCGCCATCCAGTGGCTGGCTGGATGGCGAAGCGTCTACGATAGGGATGCCCGGGTGTTGCGCATGTGTCTTAATTTCATCTTGTCAGTATTATATACCATTCTTGTACTACTACTACTACTACTACTACCACCACCTCTTCCTGCCTATATATATAGCCGTCCTGCTCCACTTCTGGTTAGTGTGACTTTGTCAATGGTCCAAGTCGGACCGAAACGTCGTCGCAAGCTTCTCTCTTTTATGTGCGGGTTATTTGTGTACCGTTCCAGTCACGGTATTGTGCCTTTTTTGTTATTCTGTACCATTTCATAAGAAAAAATAACAAAAAAATTTTTTTTTTCAATTCTTGGACCCTGGTGTGCACTTTGAAATTTGGCCTCTGGACCCTGAAAGGGTTAAATGTATACAGGTTTATTAAGTCTCAAATATGTAAAAATAAAGGTGATTAAAAGTTAAGAGAAGGTTTTACAATTATTTTTTCCTTATCATCCAGAATCGTGATTCCAAGGACAACTGGAAATAAAGTAACCTTGAATGCAAAAATGTACTCTGATCTGAGTAATAGTTTTGGAGATCTGTATTTTTCTCTATTTTCAAAATGTTGCATTTAACACTTGCACCTATTAGAATGAAATAGAAATGCAAATCATGCAACCCAACTACCACTGTCTACCTGTAGATATTCACAATATATCTGCCAGTAATGACAATCATGAAAAAAAAAACTGTGCATGTCCTAACTACCCAAGGTAATAATGAATTTTGTCAGTTATTTTTTGTATTTAGCTATTTGTTTTTTGCCAGTGTTCAGCAATGTTTGACAAATAAAATGACACCAGAATCACATATGTTTCAGAAAATTAAATGATGAAAATCACCTGAGAGCTTTACTCAGTTTTTTTTTTGGAAGCAGCCGGTATGGCTGCTTCCTAACAAGATAGGATGACCTGAAGAAAACACTTTCACCATTACTCACCCACAGTCAGCACACTTCTGGCAAGATATGATGGGATGAGTGCTGGTTAAAGCATTTCTTCTTTTTCAGGTTGCTATACCTTGGTGGGAGATGGCTAATGTATATACACATGTATATACATTTTTTTTTAACACGTCGGCCATTTCCCACTGAGGCAGGGTGACCCAAAAAGAAAGAAAAACCCCAAAAAGAAAGAAAAATCTTTCATCATCATTCAACACTTTCACCATCACTCATACATAATCACTGTTTTTGCAGAGGCACTCAGATATGACAGTTCAGAAGTCCCTCCAAACTGCCAATATCCCAAACCCCTCCTTAATTAACAAAAGATGGGTGACTTGGTTTCAGACCAGACCATAGGGGAGTTGACCCCTGAAATTTCTCTAGGTAAACTCCAGGTAAGACCCATAGGTAACCAAAAGTAATCCAAACTAATGACTCCTAAAACAGCCTTTTACAGGAAGACAGCCTCTTAACCATTAAAAGATAACAAATGTGTAAACAACAAAATCAAGAAAATGGAAGAACCTTTATTTATTCTGTTAGCTTGAATATTTTTATCACTACTTGTTGGCTGCTGCCACACTTTCACAGGAGCAAAATTATCTAACAATTATCCTAACCTTTAGTGCATTCATTCGCGCAGAAAAATGTGGAGTTTTCAGCATACGAATGATCATTTCCACTCTCAGATCACTTGTCCTCTGAGCTTTTTCTGGCCAGAGAGAGACACACAGTAGTCGTACAGCTTCTAACAAGTCATAACAAGTTCCTATTTTCTGGAAAATTAGTAATTATCAGTTTCAACACAATCAAAACTGTTTTTTTTTAATAATAAATTATGTGTATTGAAAATTCGGAAATCACAAATTTAAAGTAGTATATCAGCTTAACCTCAAAAAAAAATCAAACTCTATATACTTTTTTCTATTTGTTACATCAGCTATCTCCCAAAGCAGGGTGAAACTAAATACTTTTTTTTTCAACACACTGGCTGTATCCCACCAAGGCAGGGTGACCTAAAAAAAAAAAAAAAAAGTTTTTCTTTTTTACATTTGGCAATTTATACAGGAGAAGGGGTTGGTAGCTCCTTGCTCGTGACACTTTAGTCACCTCTTACGACATGCATGGCTTACGGAGGAAGGATTCTTCTCCACTTCCCCATGGAATGAAACTTAATATATCATTACTAATTGAAATTAACATAATACAACTATATTTAAGTAAATGACCACAAACTAACACAAACCCAAAAAATAACAATTAAATGAACTTACTTGGCCCTTAAGTTGCTTTTCCTCTAAATTGGCAACGTACTGGAGAGCCTGAGTAATAGCTGGCAGTAGGATAGGACAAACTGTATCCCTTACCAAAAACTTGGCACACTGTCCCACAGGAAGAAGCAGGGCAGCCATCTGACCTGCATCAAGTTCTTCAAGGGAAGAAAAGTGACCAGCTATTAGCTCAAAGCCTCCACGGTTACCAAAAATATTGATGAGGTCCATCAGCCAACCACATGATTCCTGCAATAAATAATACAAGTACAGTATGTGACAGTATTAAGTTAGGCATTTGGAACTATTTTGGCTAAACACAAGCCATTTACAGTCAAAAAGAAAACATTCACACTTCACTTTCTCCAGCTGTCTTTTTTTTTTTCCAGATGAGCACAGACATGCACCATAATGAATCATTGCTGATCAACTTCCAAGTGCAAGCACTGAATTCTCTAATCTCAAAATCTCAATGTCAGGCAGCTGTATTTTTCTGAACGCTTTATATGTATTACCATGCTCACACTTGAACAGCACATGAAATCACAAAAACCACTCTCCTCCAAACACTCCAAAACTTTATATATATAGACAAAACACATTCACAGTTTAACCAACCCCCTCACTGGAAGACAGGCTAAAAAAGAACCTAATAGTAATGAATTTATCTGCTCCAATGTAACAAGATTGTATATCGTACACTGTATACAACTACAAGGTAAGATACGTGATACATTGAAAGAACTAATAAAAAATCAAGTACACAAAAAGACCACCAAATAAACTTAACTAAAGCTGGGAAGGAATTCAAGATGTCAATACAAAATGTCACTGTACTTACAAACTGTGAGGTAGATTCTGCATAGATGGTATCTCCAGTATACTCAGCAGGACGGTGTTTATTCTTCTGGTTCCACTCACATTTAGAGTCCATTGCCTATAATAATTATTTTTATATAATTAAAATACAGGTAGGTAGTAGGAAGTACTACCATCCTGCCAGATGACTGTGAAACAGAAACCTGTAACGGTTTTGCAAGATGGTAGGATTGCTGGTTTCTTTTTCTGTCTCATAAACACGCTAGATAACAGGGATATCTTGCTACTCCTACTTACACTTTGGTCACACTTCACAGACACGCACATGCATATATATATACAGTGGACCCCCGGTTAACGATATTTTTTCACTCCATAAGTATGTTCAGGTGCCAGTACTGACCGAATTTATTCCCATAAGGAATATTGTGAAGTAGATTAGTCCATTTCAGACCCCCAAACATACACGTACAAACGCACTTACATAAATACACTTACATAATTGGTCGCATTCGGAGGTAATCGTTATGCAGGGGTCCACTGTACATACATCTAGGTTTTTCTCCTTTTTCTAAATAGCTCTTGTTCTTCTTTATTTCTTCTATTGTCCATGGGGAAGTGGAAAAGAATCTTTCCTCCGAAAGCCATGCATGTCGTATGAGGCGACTAAAATGCTGGGAGCAATGGGCTAGTAACCCCTTCTCCTGTAGACATTTACTAAAAAAGAGAAGAAGAAAAACTTTATAAAACTGGGATGCTTGAATGTGCGTGGATGTAGTGCGGATGACAAGAAACAGATGATTGCTGATGTTATGAATGAAAAGAAGTTGGATGTCCTGGCCCTAAGCGAAACAAAACTGAAGGGGGTAGGGGAGTTTCGGTGGGAGGAAATAAATGGAATTAAATCTGGAGTATCTGAGAGAGTTAGAGCAAAGGAAGGGGTAGCAGTAATGTTGAAGGATCAGTTATGGAAGGAGAAAAGAGAATATGAATGTGTAAATTCAAGAATTATGTGGATTAAAGTAAAGGTTGGATGCGAAAAGTGGGTCATAATAAGCATGTATACACCTGGAGAAGAGAGGAATGAAGAGGAGAGAGAGAGATTTTGGGAGATGTTAAGTGAATGTATAGGAGCCTTTGAACAAAGTGAGAGAGTAATTATGGTAGGGGACCTGAATGCTAAAGTTAACCTGGAGTTTACCTGGAGAGAGTTCAGGGGGTCAATGCCCCCGCGGCCCGGTCTGTGACCAGGCCTACTGGTGGATCAGAGCCTGATCAACCAGGCTGTTACTGCTGGCTGCATGCAAACCAACGTACGAGCCACAGCCCGGCTGGTCAGGAACCGACTTTAGGTGTTTGTCCAGTGCCAGCTTGAAGACTGCCAGGGGTCTGTTGGTAATCCCCCTTATGTATGCTGGGAGGCAGTTGAACAGTCTCGGGCCCCTGACACTTATTGTATGGTCTCTTAACGTGCTAGTGACACCCCTGCTTTTCATTGGGGGGATGTTGCATCGTCTGCCAAGTCTTTTGCTTTCGTAGTGAGTGATTTTTGTATGCAAGTTCGGTACTAGTCCCTCTTGGATTTTCCAGCTGTATACGTATAATCATGTATCTCTCCCGCCTGCGTTCTAGGGAATACAGGTTCAGGAACCTCAAGTGCTCCCAGTAATTGAGGTGTTTTATCTCCGTTATGCGCGCCGTGAAGGTTCTCTGTGCATTTTCTAGGTCAGCAATTTCACCTGCCTTGAAAGGTGCTGTTAGTGTGCAGCAATATTCCAGCCTAGATAGAACAAGTGACCTGAAGAGTGTCATCATGGGCTTGGCATCCCTAGTTTTGAAGGTTCTCATTATCCATCCTGTCATTTTTCTAGCAGATGCGATTGATACAATGTTATGGTCCTTGAAGGTGAGATCCTCCGACATGATCACTCCCAGGTCTTTGACGTTGGTGTTTCGGCCTATTTTGTGGCCAGAATTTGTTTTGTACTCTGATGAAGATTTAATTTCCTCGTGTTTACCATATCTGAGTAATTGAAATTTCTCATTGCTGAACTTCATATTGTTTTCTGCAGCCCACTGAAAGATTTGGTTGATGTCTGCCTGGAGCCTTGCAGTGTCTGCAATGGAAGACACTGTCATGCAGATTCGGGTGTCATCTGCAAAGGAAGACACGGTGCTGTGGCTGACATCCTTCTCTATGTCAGATATGAGGATGAGGAACAAGATGGGAGCGAGTACTGTGCCTTGTGGAACAGAGCTTTTCACCGTAGCTGCCTCGGACTTTACTCTGTTGACGACTACTCTCTGTGTTCTGTTAGTGAGGAAATTATAGATCCATCGACAGACTTTCCCTGTTATTCCTTTAGCACGCATTTTGTGCTCCATTACGCCATGGTCACACTTGTCGAAGGCTTTTGCAAAGTCTGTATATATTACATCTGCATTCTTTTTGTCTTCTAGTGCATCTAGGACCTTGTCGTAGTGATTAAATAGTTGAGACAGACAGGAGCGACCTGTTCTAAACCCATGTTGCCCTGGGTTGTGCAACTGATGGGTTTCTAGATGGGTGGTGATCTTGCTTCTTAGGACCCTTTCAAAGATTTTTATGATATGGGATGTTAGTGCTATCGGTCTGTAGTTCTTTGCTGTTGCTTTACTGCCCCCTTTGTGGAGTGCGGCTATGTCTGTTGTTTTTAGTAACTGTGGGACGACCCCTGTGTTCATGCTCCCTCTCCATAGGATGGTAAAGGCTCGTGATAGGGGCTTCTTGCAGTTCTTGATGAACACGGAGTTCCATGAGTCTGGCCCTGGGGCAGAGAGGGTGTGGTAGGTAAGTTTGGGGTGCCAGGTGTAAATGATAATGGGAGCCCTTTGATTGAACTTTGTATAGAAAGGGGTTTAGTTATAGGTAATACATATTTTAAGAAAAAGAGGATAAATAAGTATACAAGATATGATGTAGGGCGAAATGACAGTAGTTTGTTGGGTTATGTATTGGTAGATAAAAGACTGTTGAGTAGACTTCAGGATGTACATGTTTATAGAGGGGCCACAGATATATCAGATCAATTTCTAGTTGTAGCTACACTGAGAGTAAAAGGTAGATGGGATACAAGGAGAATAGAAGCATCAGGGAAGAGAGAGGTGAAGGTTTATAAACTAAAAGAGGAGGCAGTTAGGGTAAGATATAAACAGCTATTGGAGGATAGATGGGCTAATGAGAGCATAGGCAATGGGGTCGAAGAGGTATGGGGTAGGTTTAAAAATGTAATGTTAGAGTGTTCAGCAGAAGTTTGTGGTTACAGGAAAGTGGATGCGGGAGGGAAGAGGAGCGATTGGTGGAATGATGATGTAAAGAGAGTAGTAAGGGAGAAAAAGTTAGCACATGAGAAGTTTTTACAAAGTAGAAGTGATGCAAGGAGGGAAGAGTATATGGAGAAAGAGAGAGAGGTTAAGAGAGTGGTGAAGCAATGTAAAAAGAGGGGCAAATGAGAGAGTGGGTGAGATGTTATCAACAAATTTTTTTGAAAATAAGAAAAAGTTTTGGAGTGAGATTAACAAGTTAAGGAAGCCTAGAGAACAAATGGATTTGTCAGTTAAAAATAGGAGAGGAGAGCTTTTAAATGGAGAGTAAGAGGTATTGGGAAGATGGAGGGAATATTTTGAGGAATTGTTAAATGTTGATGAAGATAGGGAAGCTGTGATTTCGTGTATAGGGCAAGGAGGAATAACATCTTGTAGGAGTGAGGAAGAGCCAGTTGTGAGTGTGGGGGAAGTTCGTGAGGCAGTAGGTAAAATGAAAGAGGGTAAGGCAGCTGGGATTGATGGGATAAAGATAGAAATGCTAAAAGCAGATGGGGATATAGTTTTGGAGTGGTTGGTGCAATTATTTAATAAATGTATGGATGAGGGTAAGGTACCTAGGGATTGGCAGAGAGCATGCATTTGTTCCTTTGTATAAAGGCAAAGGGGACAAAAGAGAGTGCAAAAATTATAGGGGATAAGTCTGTTGAGTATACCTGGTAAAGTGTATGGTAGAGTTATTATTAAAAGAATTAAGAGTAAGACGGGAGAAATAGGATAGCAGATGAACAAGGAGGCTTTAGGAAAGGTAGGGGGTGTGTGGACCAGGTGTTTACAGTGAAACATATAAGTGAACAGTATTTAGATAAGGCTAAAGAGGTCTTTGTGGCATTTATGGATTTGGAAAAGGCGTATGACAGGGTGGATAGGGGGGCAATGTGGCAGATGTTGCAGGTGTATGGTATAGGAGGTAGGTTACTGAAAGCAGTGAAGAGTTTTTACGAGGATAGTGAGGCTCAAGTTAGAGTATGTAGGAAAGAGGGAAATTATTTCCCAGTAAAAGTAGGCCTTAGACAAGGATGTGTGATGTCACCATGGTTGTTTAATATATTTACAGAGGGGGTTGTAAGAGAAGTAAATGCGAGGGTCTTGGCAAGAGGCGTGGAGTTAAAAGATAAAGAATCACACATAAAGTGGGAGTTGTCACAGTTGCTCTTTGCTGATGACACTGTGCTCTTGGGAGATTCTGAAGAGAAGTTGCAGAGATTGGTGGATGAATTTGGTAGGGTATGCAAAAGAAGAAAATTAAAAGTGAATACAGGAAAGAGAAGGTTATGAGGACAACAAAAAGATTAGGTGATGAAAGATTTAATATCAGATTGGAGGGAGAGAGTATGGAGGAGGTGAATGTATTCAGATATTTGGGAGTGGACGTGTCAGCGGATGGATCTATGAAAGATGAGGTGAATCATAGAATAAAGAGGGGAAAAGGGTGAATGGTGCACTAGGAGTCTGTGGAGACAAAGAACTTTGTCCTTGGAGGCAAAGAGGGGAATGTATGAGAGTATATTTTTTAACCAACGCTCTTATATGGGTGTGAAGCATGGGTGATGAATGTTTTCAACGAGGAGAAGGCTGGAGGCAGTGGAGATGTCATGTCTGAGGGCAAAAGTGTGGTGTGAATATAATGCAGAGAATTCGTATTTGGAAGTTAGGAGGAGGTGCGGGATTACCAAAACTGTTGTCCAGAGGGCTGAGGAAGGGTTGTTGAGGTGGTTCGGACATGTAGAGAAATGGAGCGAAACAGAATGACTTCAAGAGTGTATCAGTCTGTAGTGGAAGGAAGGCGGGGTAGGGGTCGGCCTAGGAAAGGGGGAAAGGAGGGGTAAAGGAGGTTTTGTGTGCGAGGGGCTTGACTTCCAGCAGGCATGCGTGACGTGTTTGATAGGAGTGAATGGAGACAAATGGTTTTTAATACTTGACGTGCTGTTGGAGTGTGAGCAAAGTAACATTTATGAAGGGGTTCAGGGAAACCGGCAGGCTGGACTTGAGTCCTGGAGATGGGAAGTACAGTGCCTGCACTCTGAAGGAGGGGTGTTAATGTTGCAGTTTAAAAACTGTAGTGTAAAGCACCCTTCTGGCAAGACAGTGATGGAGTGAATGATGGTGAAAGTTTTTCTTTTCCGGGCCACCCTGCCTTGGTGGGAATCGGCCAGTGTGATAATAAAAAAAAAATAAAATACAGTGGACCCCCGCTTAACAATCACCTCCCAATGCGACCAATTATGTAAGTGTATTTATGTAAGTGCGTTTGTACGTGTATGTTTGGGGGTCTGAAATGGACTAATCTACTTCACAATATTCATTATGGGAACAAATCCGGTCAGTACTGGCACCTGAACATACTTCTGGAATGAAAAAATATCGTTAACCGGGGGTTCACTGTACCTGACTATTTTATAATATCTACCAGAAAACTAAGAAAATCTCATCCCTGTTGCACTCAAATAATCCCAGAGAAAATGAAAAAGCTAATCCAAATAACATATTTTAAAAACCACAAGATGAAATCCTGGATATTCTAAATGATTTAATGGTACAGTGTATATGATCCAAAACATAGGTTATATCTACTCTTTGGTGAAACAGTTCACAACAGAATTAAAATTACTTACAAGAGCATATACATCCTTTAATAAGGCCTCTGGAACTGGCCCATGCTTGAGCCTTACAATTACAAGATTTGTGAGCAAATCAAGCATATTAAAAACACCCTCTTGAATTTCTAAACCCCATCGTCGAACTGCTCCATTTGCTAAGAGCTTGTGAAAACATTCTGGAAGGCACCGATCCATGAAACGGTGGCAGGATTCATCTACATCACATAGACCTGACAAGAGAATAACAAAAAATTCTACAACAACCAAAAATGTGAAAATGTACAACTCATTTATCAATCACAAAAATAATGAAAATCATATCCATAAATTATTCAAATGAGGTTTTGTATTAAAATCATTATACTATTAATGTAAGAATCACACTGATATAAGGCAAAGTTCTAAGAAGTCATTCACTCTCTCTCTCCTTGTTTCTAAAAGACAATAATTTGTACAGCCCAATGATTTACTGTTTTTAACATTTTACAGGTGCTACTATATTTCGATTTCTTTTTTTTTTTTAATATTTTAACAGGCAACACATTTAGAAAAAAACTGACCAGAGAGAGAGGAATGAGTGGCAAGGCCCCATGTGCATTATTATTATTATAATCATGGAGGAGTACTAAACCCATAGGGATTATACAGTGCCTGTGGGGGGGGGGGATGATGGAAGATATTCAGGCTCAATTCACGGAACTGGAGCACAGATCCAATTCCCTAGATCAAGAGTCCCTCACCAGCATCAAGGAATCTCTCTTGAGGGGGGGGGGGGAGGGGCATGTGCAACAGTTTACCTTGTAGATTTTCGTGTAACCATATAGTATTATGTTGAATTAAATAGCGAACGAGGTTTTTAATAAAAGCAATGGTATCAAGGTAAGCACATTATGCTTACATGATTAATCTATTACATATCAAGCTACAAACATGGTTTTTAACCCGTTAAGAGTTTGTGCCATAGTACTACAGTTTTGAGCTCAGGGTCTGTGCCATAAAACTACATGATGAACTCAGCTCACTCAGATAAGCAGCAAGTAGTAAATTTTGGCATAGATATAAGAGAGTGGGTCTATGCAGTGAATGTACATCATATAAAAAAAATCCTGCCCCATGCATGATGAGAAAACAAAATTGTGATTGAGTGTATGGTTTAAAATAGTGTGGTATACAGCCTCTCCTCACTTAACGACAGAGTTCCATTCCTAAGACCATGTCGTTAAACAAATTCGTCGCCAAGTGAGGAACATACTATAATGGTAGTGAGTTTGTGTCAACCATCTTTGATATTTTTTAATGTCACCTTTGCACCATTTATAACATTTCTGGTATATTTTTAAATGTTTATACAGTAGTGTACTGTATAATGAAATAAACAGAATAGAGGAAATCAGTTCTAATATTTAGGTATGAGTACTGGTCAGAGAGCCCATCGTAAGTCCGAGGCGTCGGTAAATGAGTACATCAATAAGTGAAGAGAGGCTGTATTTTTGGATGATTTTTATGCTTTTAGTCTGAGTTTCTTAGTTTCATTTGATAGAATGGAAGATATATTAGAGAAATAGAGATGATTTTGTTTGGCTTCAGGACTTGAAGTAGTTTGAAATTGAGCTGAAAATAGTGGAAATATTTGATGCTTGTCAATATTCCAGAGGATACTAATCACATCACTTGGTTAATACACGTCCAACTGACGAGTCTAATACGCGTTTAGGAATAAGCTGACATTATTTATGCAATTATTACAATAATGAATTAGCCTGCACAACAGTAAATCTTTAATTTTTTTGTGTAAATAAAAATTCAAAATGGAAAGCAAGTGTAATATAGGAGAAGCCTGTAGACATAACTATTGAACAGAGGAAATGTTGTTTTAGTGCCAGGAATGTCTACACTGTTTATTCTGGACCCTGTTTTTAAATTGGCATTTTTTAATTTTGTGTGAAAGTGGCCAAATTACCGAATTCTGATCACTTTATTGGGTAGCTGAGTGGGTAAATGGGTGGTTTCTTGTGCTCATTTGATAGAATGGAAGGCATACTAGCAAAATACCTAAGAGTTTGGTTGACTGGAACAATGGAACTGACCTAAAATAGGACTCAAAACAGGTGAAATAGCCAGCGCATAAACATCACTGAGCTCACTAGCTTTCTGTAAGTTTTCCATCAAATTTCATACTTTTGGTGTCATTACCTTCAGAAAAAGACTCTCTACCATTTTATTAAGGAAAAAGTAATTTTTCTTGGGGTGAGTTGGGGGAATTTTTGGACTCTGAGAACAGTTTCAGGACTGGGGGGGTCTGGGCCCTCAAAGTATGCATATTATGCTTTCATGATTGTCTTTTTTATTATGTATCAAGATTCAATCATTTGTGTAAAATACATTTAACAAAATCACTAGTTATATGGACATGAGTGGCTAGTTTACATTTCTGTAAGGATTAACCCTTAAACGGTCCAAACGTATATATACATTTTTTCAACATCTGAAAGTATGTAAAAAAATGTAGAACTTCTTTTTTGTTTTACATTTGAAAACGTGTAAAAAAACTTTTATCTACGTTTTTTTTGTTATATTTGAAAATATGTAAAAAAAAAGTAGATCTACTTTTGTAGCGCTACGAATTTGAACGTCGATTTGTTTGGACCATTTAAGGGTTAATAAGGGATGCCCGTTTAACAGCCTCCCACCATGCATAAGGGGAATTACCAATAGACCCCTGGCTGCCTTCAAGAGGGAGCTGATCAGATAATTAAAGTTGATGCCGGATCAGCCGGGCTGTGGTTCATACGCTGGACTGCATGCGGCCAGCTATAACAGCCTGGTTGATCAGGCCCTGATCCACTGGGAGGCCTGGTCGTGGACAGGGCTGCGCGGGCGTTGATCCCCAGAATAACCTCCAGGTAGACTCTAGGTTTGTCTTAGGAATGACCAATGAGTATAATCTGATCTAGGAATGACTGGTGGGTGATTTATGATGTGATCTTTCATTATGTCTCCTCATCTGACTTTTTTCCTTTTCTCTCATCCATTCTCACATTTTGTAGTCTTTCTAGAAAAATTCAATTCTCATTTCCAATTCTGATAATGTGTTCTTAAAACAAAGAATTTGACAAAATAGAAATTTGTACAATTGCTAAAAGAAGAAAGTAAAATGTGAATGTAGAAAAGTGTTAAGTGACAAGAATATGCAGAAGTGTGGAGAATGAACAATTGAGTCAGACTGGGATGGAATATAGTCTGATATAATATATAAGATTACCTTCCTCAGCCAGTCTTGCTGCAGCAACTAAGCACTTCCCAAGGGATTCTTCTCTCTTGTAAGGTATAGACCAAGTATCGGTAAATACTCGACTCTCAAGTTCATATAAATTTGTTGCTGGAAATTCCATACTGTTACCATTTTCTCCTCCAGCCTGCTGGACAAATTACAACAACGACTGTACAGTCAAGTAATATTATGCACTATGTATTAACTACAAAAACTCTTTGGCAAAAGTGGAATATTCTTTTTGGTCTACAAAACTTGGCAGTATGCAACTGCACAATCATTCACAGCAGATGGGAATACCATTATAAAATAACCTTTTAAATTTGTTAGGTAATAGGTTATATTAGGTAACAGGTTACACTAAAATAGGTTAAGTTGGGTTGGGTTACTAAGTGTAGTATAAACTAATCTAATTAAATCTAACTGAACCAATAAAATTTTTTGAGCAATTTGAACAAAATAAAACTACTGCAAAATGCACTTAATATTTCACACAATTTTAAGTTACATTTACCTTAAATTGATTCCAGGGGTCACCACCCCAGTCCCTAACAAGGCTTTAAACTATAAATTACTGTATCATCAAACTCAACTGAGCAGCTGTTATCCTTACTGACCCTAAAGTTATAGATGGGAGAACTTTTTGCCAGTACAAAAATACCAGACTTCGGATCAATCGACAACTTAGTTATGTCAGCGAGATCACTGGCATTTACTCACTGTAGCAACACAAAGTACTGTATTTTCTGGCATACAAGGAGTGCCCAATTCTGGCAGAAATGCTGAGAAAAATAAAAAAGGCAGTACTTGCTTCAAAATGATAGTGAAACAGTGGTTGGCAGCTTATGTGCACAATGAAGCTGAAAGAGGTGGGATCTTGTACAACTTCTTGTCTGTGTCACCACCAATATAAACATGGCTATGTGTTGACAGAAGGCTACTTCACAAATATTTACAACCGCTGAAGCTGGTTTGCTTATGTGCTAGTAATATGTATACAGGTACATCATCAATTTTCCAGATATCAATGGTCTGGAACCATACAAATTTATGAGCAAGAACTTGGAATCCCTGTGGCAGTGTATTTACCACCAAACTGCACGTCACTTATCCAACCCCAAGATTAAGGAATACGTACTGCGCTCTCTAAAGGCAGAAACATCAGTAATCTGGAGAGGCTTTAGAACCAAAAGTCTGGAAAATCAATGTTGTACCTGTATTATAAATATAAGAATTAATCAATAATCTGGAAAACAGTTTTGTAGGGAAGTGGGGTTAGTGCTTGGAGTTTATTGCACCAGTACCGTAGCACTGAAACCAACACTTATCGGTAATCCAAAGCCAACCCTCGCTTGTTTAGGGGGGAAGGGGGAAACAGCACACCTTATATGCATGAAAACAGAGCATATAAAAAAACATTTCATTCCTAGATAAGTGTAAACTCGTAAGGCTCATACAGCATTGGGAAGGATGGGAGGCAATCAAGTTCGATCCAAGGAAGGGGAAGATGGGCATAATTCCTCACACCAAGCACTCCTTAGTTTGGTGAGTTTGTATGTTATTATGTAGGATAATGATGAAGTTTCCTGGCAAGGGCTTCAGTTAGGTTGTAAAAGCCGTTGTTCTGGATAAAATTTTTAGATATACAGATAAGTGATGATTTCAAGATTCTTGGAATGATTCCAAGTGATGATTCAAAGAATCTTGGAATCATCATTTACCTGTATATCTAACAATTTCGACCAAAACAACGGCTTTCCTTGCCAGGAAACTTCACAGTTATCCTACATAACAACATTGGCCCGTCCTGGGTGGGTCCATCTCAAATCCAACCTCCCCAAGAATTCTCCACCTAATTCATCACCCTTTATATACTCAGGCACTCTTTACCGGGGTAGATCTGTTTGTGACTTGATAAAGCCCACTGTGTGGGTGAAACGTAGTCAATAAAGGACCGTATTATACTTCATGTCTTTATTTTTTAGTGTCAGTATTTTTATACCATTTATCCCGAGGTAGAGAGAAGGTTGGATGACAAACCTCGTCATAAGATGGAGGTCTGAGGGCCGGGTTGGTCATCTCCACGTCTCTGAGGTCATCCACGGTGGTATAGGAGGAGAGAGGCTGTTCTGTCAGGAAGATCACTGCCTCATTTACGTCCCCATTGCTCAGCTTCAGAGCCCTCTTGATGGCCCGTACATCAGGGAACCCCATATTGAGCAGCAGCGATATATTCTCATCTTCTTGATCCATCTTTTTCAACACTTCAGGTCACCATCAACACGTTTTGGCTGCGACGTGCAAGTAATGGTCTGGCCACAGCAACAGGTGAAGCGAGACTTCACAAGTCTCTCTATAATCTACCACAGGGATGGTCTAGTTACATGTTCACAACAGTAACTAGCCAAATAAGAAGCGAGCGTAGCAGCAGCATGATGGAAAACCTTGACAAGTGGTGTAGGAAGTGTACAACCAGACCAATGTTTACAACTGGTGGCCTGGCCAGGACAACACTCCCATACTGTTGACATCTTTAATTCTTCCTCTATCTTATTTCTCCACTACATTACACCCTACCTTTAATAATTAATAATTAATTTCGTTATTTTTTGTTGGTACATTTGTTATGTTAATCTAAAAGTAAGATAGAGAGCAACTTAAATGGGGATATCATCTTACCATTTTCTTTTCATGGACATTTTTTTTTCCCGTGTTTCTTAAGAGCATCATGACCCAGCGACATAATGATTTTTTTAAATTATCATCATGACATGCGTTCTATTGTGCAAATGAGTTTTGCAGCATATCTGAATTCATCCAGCAAGATTAGTGTCTTGCCCTTATTTATTAACAAAATTAAATACGCCAGACTTTGTGGCTACTGTGATCTACATGACATTTGAAAAGGTTAGATCAAGAACCGGGTTTACTTAACCCATCTACCAGGATACCTGGAGAGGGTTCCGGAGGTCAACGCCCCCGCGGCCCGGTCTGTGACCAGGCCTCATGGTGGATCAGGGCCTGATCAACCAAGCTGTTACTGCTGGCTGCACGCAAACCAACGTACGAGCCACAGCCCGGCTGGTCAGGTACCGACTTTAGGTGCTTGTCCAGTGCCTGCTTGAAGACAGCCAGGGGTCTATTGGTAATCCCCCTTATGTATGCTGGGAGGCAGTTGAGCAGTCTTGGGCCCCTGACACTTATTGTGTTGTCTTATCGTGCTAGTGACACCCCTGCTTTTCACTGGGGAATGTTGCATCATCTGCCGAGTCTTTTGCTTTCATAGGGAGTGATTTTCGTGTGCAAGTTTGGTACTAATCCCTCTAAGATTTTCCAAGTGTATATGATCATGTATTTTTCTCGCCTGCGTTCTAGGGAGTACAGGTTTAGGAACTTCAAGCTAGTTTACATGATAAACTTTACTTTTGCCGTCTCAACTTGCCCGAAATGCTCTGCAGAACCATAGACTTTAACAACGTATGGCTTACACTTGACAGTGTTACTGTCTTATTCCATCTCGTAGAACAGGATTAAATACTGTAATGTAATCTGTCAGACTAAGCTGGGAGACTTTTATAGAGCCCCAGTGGAAATAAGCCACTTTGACTTGTTTGGGGTTATCAGCCGGGCTGTGGCTCGTATGTTGGTTTGCGTGCAGCCAGCAGCAACAGCCTGGTTGATCAGGCTCTGATCCACCAGGAGGCCTGGTCTCAGACCGGGCCGCGGGGGCGTTGACCCCCGGAACTCTCTCCAGGTAAACTCCAGGTAATAGGTAATTTACACATATGTTACTATGTAGGATAATTTATGTAACTGTATTTATGTGTACCTTACTAAGCTGGGAGACTTAAGTAGGGAGATAAGGGTACCGTCAAATGTTTCACTCTAGGGTCACAACCTACTGCAGCTTTAATTTTAGGTTTCCTTCCGGCATAAAATGGCTATAACTACCATAATTTTTAAAGGGGTGGACCGGTAAGCCAGCGGAAGGCCTCGGTCAGATGACTAAAAGCTCCAACGGTGGGTCATCATCTAAGACCCGCGTCAGGAAACACTTCCTGTTCCCTGACAAACCTTCCCTAACCTTCCGGCAGGACTCAGTCCGACTTACTCTTACATGAGGATTAAGGGTAATATTGAGTTCAGGTCCTAATCTGAGTTGATCGAAAATTTATTCCCTGAACGTCCAACATTAGGTGGGTTATATGGGTTTATTTTATGGCAGTGGTAAGAAACGTAACCTAAAATAACTTAACGTAGCTTTGTTTATGTAGCTCCTCGAGCGGTAGATATGGGACTGGTTCACCCTCGTTTAAGCTGCAAGAAACCCTTATCACATGCCTTAAATATTCTATGGAGAACTTTCGCTGACATTGCCCCACTCCACAAAGATGACAGTGAAGCAACTGCAGAAAACTCAAGGCCACTAACTGGTGGGCGTTCGTGGTTTGGTTGGTAGCGTCCTCAGCTCTCACACTGAGGGACTGGAATCAGTCCCCGCCACAGGCTAAACATTGGGCAGGTAAGTAGGTACCTAGGTGTTAGCCGATTGTTGTGGGTCGCATCCTGGGGAGAAAATTAAAGAACTTCAATGGAAATAAGACAAGACAGTCCCTCATCACTCACTGAATTTAATGAGTCATCCTGGGTGGTTAACCCTCCGGGTTTAAAAAAATAAATCTTAATTTAGGGGGCAGTAAAGCAACAGCAAAGAACTACAGACCAATAGCACTAACATCCCATATCATAAAAATCTTTGAAAGGGTCCTAAGAAGCAAGATCACCACCCATCTAGAAACCCATCAGTTACACAACCCAGGGCAACATGGGTTTAGAACAGGTCGCTCCTGTCTGTCTCAACTACTGGATCACTACGACAAGGTCCTAAATGCACTAGAAGACAAAAAGAATGCAGATGTAATATATACAGATTTTGCAAAAGCCTTCGACAAGTGTGACCATGGCGTAATAGCGCACAAAATGCGCGCTAAAGGAATAACAGGAAAAGTCGGTCGATGGATCTATAATTTCCTCACTAACAGAACACAGAGAGTAGTCGTCAACAGAGTAAAGTCCGAGGCAGCTACGGTGAAAAGCTCTGTCCCACAAGGCACAGTACTAGCTCCCATCTTGTTCCTCATCCTCATATCCGACATAGACAAGGATGTCAGCCACAGCACCGTGTCTTCCTTTGCAGATGACACCCGAATCTGCATGACAGTGTCTTCCATTGCAGACACTGCAAGGCTCCAGGCGGACATCAACCAAATCTTTCAGTGGGCTGCAGAAAACAATATGAAGTTCAACGATGAGAAATTTCAATTACTCAGATATGGTAAACATGAGGAAATTAAATCTTCATCAGAGTACAAAACAAATTCTGGCCACAAAATAGAGCGAAACACCAACGTCAAAGACCTAGGAGTGATTATGTCGGAGGATCTCACCTTCAAGGACCATAACATTGTATCAATCGCATCTGCTAGAAAAATGACAGGATGGATAATGAGAACCTTCAAAACTAGGGAGGCCAAGCCCATGATGACACTCTTCAGGTCACTTGTTCTATCTAGGCTGGAATATTGCTGCACTCTAACAGCACCTTTCAAGGCAGGTGAAATTGCCGACCTAGAAAATGTACAGAGAACTTTCACGGCGCGCATAACGGAGATAAAACACCTCAATTACTGGGAGCGCTTGAGGTTTCTAAACCTGTATTCCCTGGAACGCAGGAGGGAGAGATACATGATTATATACACCTGGAAAATCCTAGAGGGACTAGTACCAAACTTGCACACGAAAATCACTCACTACGAAAGCAAAAGACTTGGCAGACGATGCACCATCCCCCCAATGAAAAGCAGGGGTGTCACTAGCACGTTAAGAGACCATACAATAAGTGTCAGGGGCCCGAGACTGTTCAACTGCCTCCCAGCACACATAAGGGGGATTACCAACAGACCCCTGGCAGTCTTCAAGCTGGCACTGGACAAGCACCTAAAGACAGTTCCTGATCAGCCGGGCTGTGGCTCGTACGTTGGTTTGCGTGCAGCCAGCAGCAACAGCCTGGTTGATCAGGCGCTGATCCACCAGGAGGCCTGGTCACAGACCGGGCCGCGGGGGCGTTGACCCCCGAAACTCTCTCCAGGTAAACTCCAGGTAAACTCCAGGTTATCCTATCTTAGTCCTAACCTTCCACATTATCGAGGTTTTTGACAGGGTTCTAAGAAGCAAGATAGCCAAATGACATGGAATCACAGCAACTGTACAACCCAGGTCAGCATGGGTTCAGATCAGGCCACTCCTGTTTTTCGCAACTGCTGGAAAATTATGACATGGTGTTGGACGCATTAGAAGACAAGCAAAATACAGATGTAGAGTGCAGTGACTTCGTAAAAGCCTTTAATAAGTGCGACCATGAGGCAATTCCACACCAAATGTGTGCAAAAGGAATAACTGGGAAGGTGGGTAGATGGCTATTTAACTTTCTAACAAATAAAGCCCAAAGAGTAACAGTAAACAGAGTGAAATCAGGGACTCCTACGAAAAAAATAATAGTTCTCTCCACGGTATTAGCCCCACTTCTCTTTCTCATTGACATACCTGACACAGACAGGGTCATATATCAGAGCACTATATCATCCTTCGCCAGACGATACTGGAATTTGTATGAGAGTGGAATCCATAGAAGACACAGCGAGCCTCCAAGCTGATATAAATCAAGTCTTCCAGAGGGCCACCAGCCCCCGTGGCCTGGTGGCAAAAGCTCTCGCTTCACACGGTGAGTGTCCAGGTTCGATTCCTGGCAAAGGAGTGGAAACATCGGACGTGTTTCCTTACACCGGTTGTCTATGTTCACCCATCAGTAAAATGGGTACCTGGGTGTTAGTCGACTGGTGTGGGTCGCATCCTGGGACAAAACTGACCTAATTTGCCCGAAATGCTCTGCATAACAAGGGACTTTCAGTATAGTAGTATGTCATTGATGTCAGCTAGGCCTGTATACCTTGTACAAGTACTTGTAGTAAATAAAGATATTATTATTATTATTATTATTATTATTATTATTATTATTATTATTATTAAGATAAGCTCAAACCGCTCAACAGAATGTAAGTCAATGTAAGAGACCTGGGAGTTATAATGTCTGAAGATCTCACATTCAACAAGTACAACAACGTTTTCATCGCAAGTGCAAGGAAACGAAAGGTTAGATAATTATTTCTTCCAAAACAAAAAAATGCCAAGCCAGTGATAATACTCTTCTGGTCCCTCGTTCTCTCACTCTAGGCTGGAATATTGCTGTATACTAACGGCCCTCTTCAGGCAAAACTGTTAAGCTGGACAGCGCAGAGAACCTTCGCAGTTTGTATAAACTCACTCAAGCACATAAATTATGATAACATTATTTTCCTCATGTGTTTGGTCAATGGTTACCGATGAGAATATTATTCTGATCTTCTGGATGGTGAATTTTCCATTGTGGAACTGCTCCTAAACCAAGGGGTGGATTTTGC